ACCTTGAAAAATGGACCAATTTGCTGACACATTTTCCCCCTGCAAGGGCTAATGCCAGAGTGAATAGGCCTAAAGCCTGTGGCCTTAATTAGTTTGCAAGTTATCAAGCACAAAGCCCACCTGTTGCAGAATGAAAACAAATGTGCTTCTCCCGTGAACTGCCTGACACAGCCTTTGCCACAGCTCTTGACAATTGCCAGTCCCACACAGGATATATGGCTGACAACCTGGAACAGTGGGCAGCTACTGCAATGCAGTCTGAGGGAAAGGCAGAGGCCTTGGAACCCAGACTGGGTTCAGGGAAGAACTCACTGATTTTCAGACTGTGCCCTATTTTGTAAGTGGAAGGAATTGGTCCTGCCTTAGGATTTCACTCAGTAATTTGTGGGGCTTCCTTATTAAACCGTTGGTGATTTATAATGAAATTAAAGCTCATATCTGCACAAGGACTATACATAACTCCTATGTCCATTAACACACATTATCAGAGTAGTACCAATAAGTAATAACGACAATAATATTTATTAACCTTTTTCATCACTTTCTACCAAAAAAAAAAATGTATCAGAGCAACTTACAAATACATACAATACAAAACAGCTTGACAGTTATTTAAAACCAAATGCAATGGGACAGAGCTTATCCAACAATAGCTATAAACTGAACCAATTTTTGGGTTTTCTTTGTTTTTGTTTTCATTACAGGATGTATTTTCTGTTTTTTATATTGTGATTTAATGTCATGAAGTGCCCTGAGATCTACAGGGCAGTATACAAATTTAATAAACCATCATCATCTCCCCAGGAAAGAAGAGCACCGAAAACAGCCCATGTTAAACTATGATGGCTTATGCTAAAGACTGGGCACACAGGAATGTCTCAGCATGGCATGTAAAATCTGACAATGTTGGGGCCAGGCATGTTTCCCTAGGGAGAGCGTTCTGCAAATGGGGAGCCACCACTGAAAAAGCCAATTCTTGCAGAGCAATCCTCTGCACCTCCCATGGAGGAGACACTTAGATGTCTCTGATACAATTGCAGGGTCCACTGTTGATTCAGGTGGAGAGAGGAGTCCTTGAGATATTGCGATCCTAAGGCACATAAAGATTTATGGGCCCCTACCAGCTTGAAAGCCAAAAGTCAGAAATAAAATTGATTATCATGTCAAAAATGTTTCATCTGAGGGGGCTTCAATATGTGAGGGGCCTGAACTGCCGCAGCAGTTTTGGGTAAGAAATATATCCAAAGAGGGGTGGATATATTGACATTTAACGCCCAAGATGTATGTTTTTAGGACCCACCCTGTTCTAAATTTAGGACCCACCCGATTCTCAATTGATTTAACTGATTTTAATATTGTGCTCTGATTGCTTTGACCTACCTTGGTACTGTGTGATCAAGAGAAGGTAAGAAAACTAATAAACAAATACTAATAATTAGATACCCATGTTTGACTGGACTACCTCCACAACCATAAAAATCATTGCATGTTGGGTGGGGAAAATGATTTCTGAAACCACCTGAAAACTCCTTTTGAGCTGATAATTTGGTTGGAGCAGGCCAGTCAAATGCCTTTGACCCAGGATACACAAGTCAGGTATTTTCCCAAGCTATGGTACTGATGCTACTCAACTGCTCACAAAGACGAGATCAAAATATGCACCACCTGTCACACAAACTCTGGAAATTCACTGGGCTTAGAATTAGCGGTGCTTACAGAGGAAGGTTTGGGGGCCAGAAGTCCAGAGCCCCACTCAGAAGTTAGTCAGGTTGTGCAGCCACAGAAGTGACCAGAGGAGGAATGACCACTGAGGGGAACACAGAGAGAAAAAGCACCATGGCGCATCTACAGCAGCACAACCACACACCATCATCTGCCCCAGCTGCAACAAAACATGTCTCTCCTGTATCCATTTCTAAAGCCACAGCAGGTGCTGTAACTCTGCAACAGTTTGACTTTCCCCCCCAAAGGCGAACTCCATTGTTTCCTGAAGACAGATGCCTACTCAGAGTAGAGCCAATTTAAAATTAATATACTAAGGTTACCAGACGTCCCTGTTTCCCAGGGACAGTCCCCGGATTTACAAATCGGTCCCCGGACAAAATCCATCTATTTAGTAGGAAGCTGAAAAATGTCCCTGGATCATTGAAAAAAATCTGGTAACCTTGTAATATACTTGAGTAACTTAGGTGCATTAATTGCAGCGAGTCTACTCTGAGAAGGTCTGAATCCATCTCTACATTTGTAATATACAGTGGTACCTTGGGTAATTCGTTCTGGAGGTCCGTTCTTAACCTGAAACTGTTCTTAACCTGAGGCACCACTTTAGCTAATGGGGCCTCCCATTGCCGCTGCGCGATTTCTGTTCTCATCCTGAAGCAAAGTTCTTAACCCGAGGTACTATTTCTGGGTTAGTGGAGTCTGTAACCTGAAGCACCTGTAACCTGAAGCGTCTCTAATCCGATGTACCACTGTAGAAAGGATCTGGGGCCAGCCCTACCAATAGGCAGAGTGAAGCAGCTGGCCCAAGTAGTTAGATATAGGTGTTGTGACAGGGCAGCAAATTGTGAGAATTTTTTTGCCTCAAGTGCCAAAATAAGTCGACCAGCCTTTGGTATTCCCTTGGGGGCAGGGACAGAGGGAGAGAAAGCATCCTTCGGTGTCCAAACCTCAGGCCGCAAAATGTCTTGGACTGGCTCTGAAATGTTCTATTGGAAAGTTCCCACATTTCAGAATCTCCCTGCATATCAAATACTTACACACCGTAGATACGTTCAGGCTAGAAGTGTTTTCACCGACATATAAGTGGTTTTGGCACTCCCTCCCTCAGCCACGTTTTCCTGTGGATGTGTTAATATGGCTATCACTGGCTGTCATTCTCTTTCTCCACCTGCATGATGGGGATTACAAAGACATACCTCACGTAGTTGTTAGGTCTGCGATCCTAAATATATTACAAGCAGGTAAGCCCAATGAACACAGCAGGACTTACTTCCAAGTAAGCATGCCCAGGATCGCTGCTCTTCTTCATTATGAAGAACAAAATAACCTCTAGCTAATCCTTATCTTTAAGCTTTCTGGCACCAAGTCATCCCCCCCGCAAAGATTCAATCATGATAGATGGTTGCAAATACAATAAAATGTAAGTTGTCGGCTGCTATAGGAATATTATTAAATCCCACACTCATGACTGTAGAAATTAGATAAAAATATCCAGAGGGGTAGCTATGTTAGTCTGTTACAGCTCAAACAACAAAGAGTCTTGTGGCACCTTAAAGACTAATCAATTTTATTACGGCATAAATTTTTTGGTCCCTTAAAAAAAAATGCCACAAGACTCTCTGTTGTTTTAGATAAAAATGTGGATGCCACGACTTGTTTGCTTTCTAAATGAGGCTAGCACATTTTCTGCTAAGGATTCTGCTAGAATGAGACAAGTTTAGTATTATTATTTTTTGTCAGTTATTTAAACCTGCAGAAGCCCCAGAGTGTTAATTTATTATAAATGCTGTATATAATGTTTTGAATTAGAATTACCTATGGTGAGCTTGTAAACTTTTCCGCTCACTTGTATGCTATATGTCTAGAAGAAACAATTGCAGTGACAGGCTATCCCTCATAATCCCCCTCTTCAGACTTATGCTCACAAAAGGCTCTAAATACTGAAGATGTTGTGAGGGAGGAGAAACATCTTCCAAACAAGTAGTTTCTCCATTCCAGCCCAGGTAACAAAGAGCCCTCTGGAATTTTCCTTGGGCCTCAGCAGAGCTGGCCTCTGGGTCTTAGGGACACCTGCTGCTTAAGCCATCGGTCAATAGATTAACTACAGCTATTACTAAGTGCTTAGAAAAGCAGGCGATGTGGCAGAGCAAACAAAATCAACCTTGCGTTTTAACACATGTTAATTCAAAATTTAATAAATTGGATGGGGGAGGGGGGGAGGACGCTGAGAACTGCAAAACAAAAACAAAAAAAGGGGGGAAATCTCTCTAAACACATTTGCTTTCTGCAAGCAAAGTATCAGATTGCAGATGAAATGTCTTTATGGCAGCTGACAAAGAAAAGAATTCTCTCTCTCTCCTTTGCAAGAATCTTTTCTCACTTCCCCCCATCCTCTCCTTCCTCCCCCCGCCCCATTTTATCTGCAGTTGTTCCTTGAACACACATACTTTGGGCAATGTTGAAAACGGCATTCAATGGAAAGACTATGGGAGCAGAAAATCACTGTAAACTGCTTTCAGAGGTGATCCAATGCGAACCACAAAAGCAGGTTATTGTGAGTGCAGATAGACACCAAAGGCTTGAAATTGTTCTTATTATTTGACCAGACAAAGGGAGTTTCATCCAGTACTGTAAAAAAATAAAATAAAATAAAAAGAAATAAAAATCCCTGCTTGCCTTCTGAGTGGGAAGAATCTCTCCTCAGACTTTTCACTGATGTCATTGTGGGGGTGGTGTTTAGCAGAATATCTCTGAAGGAGTTCATGCAAGGAGAGCTGCTTAGAGGCTATAAAGCTGAATGCAGAAAAAATGGAACCTTGCAATCTTGTAGGACCAGTGTAAATGGGGAAAACACTACATCCATAATTTTTTTTAAAAAAAATAATAGAATTGTAGAGTTGGAAGGGACCCTAAGGATCATCTAGTCCAACCTTCTGCAATACAAGAATCTCAACTACAGCATCCATGACAGATGGCCAGCCAACCTCTGCTTAAAAACCTCCAAGGAAGTCCACCATGGAGAGGGAAGTTCTACACATTCACTGGGAAACATAGGTGTTACGCTTGAATTTGCTGCAGCAGACCCACAGCATGTAGCTATCCTATTGTATATACACACAGATTTGCTGCGTCTCATGGAATCCAGCAGCATCCAGAGGGCTGCAGGTTCCCCGTTCCCGTCATCGATACCTGGCTTTCAGCTGGAGATGGGGGAGAAATTTGATTCTGTTCACATTTAAATGTGATGATCCTTGGGCTCCTTTCTTAACACTATGATTCTGTGATTGTGATGTGATTTCGTAGCTTCTGAAACAAAACACTGCCATCCTTCGAAATCTGCACTTTGTTGAATTTTGGAACTCCCTGCTGCAGGCCCTGTTAGCTGTTAAACAACCAGTGGATGGTGACAGTTGGCCTTCTTGGTGGTAGCCCCTGCCCTCTGAACACCTGCTTTCAGGTAATTTGTGAGGTGGAAAAGTAGTTACCTTTGACCTCTTTTCTATGAACTTTTAATAGTCTGCCTTTTAAAAATACAGTGGTACCTCGAGTTAAGAACTTAATTCGTTCTGGAGGTCCATTCTTAACCTGAAACTGTTCTTAACCTGAGGTATCACTTTAGCTAATGGGGCCTCCTGCTGCCACCACACCGCTGACACGCAATTTCTGTTCTCATCCTGAGGTAAAGTTCTTAACCAGAGATACTATTTCTGGGTTAGCGGGGTCTGTAACCTGAAGTGTCTGTAACCTGAAGCGTTTGTAACCCGAGGTACCACTGTAGTACCGTTAGTGGGAGGAAATAACCACAAGGACATACGGTGATATCTGAAATGTGGCATGTAACTTGATGCAGATAGCACCAACTAAATGTGACGGTCAGAGTCATGAGTAGTAGTTGTAGTAATAGTAGTAGTAGTAGTACTAATAATAGTAATAATAATAATAGTAGTAGGTAAAAGGTAAGGTAAAGGACTCCTGGACGGTTAAGTCCAGTCAAAGGCAACTATGGGGTTCAGCACTCATCTCGTTTTCAGACCAAGGGAGCCAGCGCTTGTCCACAGACAGCTGTCCGGGTCATGTGGCCAGCATGACTCAACCACTTCTGGCGAAATGGAACACCGTGATGGAAACCAGAGCGCACGGAAATGCCGTTCACCTTCCCGCCCCAGCAGTTCCTATTTATCCACTTGCACTGGCATGCTTTTGAACTGCTAGGTTGGCAGGAGCTGGGACGGAGTGATGGGAGCTCACCCTGTTGCGGGGATTCGAACTGCCGACCAGCCCAAGAGGCTCAGTGGTTTAGAGCACAGTGCCTAATAATAATAATACATTTCTATCCTGCCCTTCCTCCCAGGGCAGGAAACACCAATATGGTAAACTGTAAAAGATGCCCAGTGTAAACAACTCTGAAGAACATAAGGCTATACAATGAGCCTGATGGTCCTGGATCAGACCAGTGGCCTGTTTAGGTCAGCATCCTGCTCTCACAGTGGCAGATGCCTGTGGGAACTCCCAAGACAACTCTCAAGACCTACATTTTGGACTTCAGCACCTTTCTTCCTGTTTCCCTATGCCAGTTTTTTAAATAAGCGACTTGTACTGTAGGAAGCTCCAGTGGTGTGTGTGTGTGTGTGTGTGTGTGTGTGTGTGTGTGTGTGTTGGCTTTTAAAAAACAACTTTATTTGTATTTTTTTCTTGTTGTTGTTAACTGCCCCGGGTGCCATGTGTAGAATGGCATGGCATAAATTGAAATAAAGGAAGGAAGTCTGTTGAGAATCATCGATGCTCCACAAAGACACTGCCAAGCAGTTTCCCTGGGCTCCCCCATGGTTTTTAACACAGTAGGGCAGCATTTAGCCTTATATAAACACAGATAAGATAAATGGTTTATTGTCGCACAGTAGGTATTGCCTGCTCTATCAGCCACCATCGTGAAGCCTGAGCTGATAGCTGCTGCAAGATACTTTAATGTTACTGATATCTCCTCTCTTTTCTTCTCTCCTCTCCCACTCTCTTCTTTAAAAAAAAAAAAAGTCATTTATTTTGGGTTCACATGATGGGTCAAAGTAACCAACCTGCCTCCTATATTTCATGCCCGTTATCTGGGATCAGGAGAGGGAAGATGGGAGTTGTTAAGAAGCTGCTTTGTCCATTCCAGTATCATTAAGCCAGAATTGTGTGTGTGTGTGTGTGTGTGTGTGTGTGTGTGTGTGTGTGTAATAGGAGCATTTCACCCAATATCACAAGAGAACCTGGATTTACCCCTTACAGTTTTGAACACACACAGCCTTCCTTACAGGACTCCTATTGCTTTAAGAATTGCTTACGAAGGTGGTGTTGGATTTGAGGAGGTCCTACCCTTGCTGGGGAAAGCCTGGCTAATATATATATTTTTAATGGCCTATTATGTAGATGCTAAAGTCACAAGAGCACTGTCAGAATAAAAACAACAACAACCTGTGCACATTTGCTGAGACGGCTCTGTCCTTCGTTATTACATCCGGGGCTTAACCCTGCTAAACTAACTCAATTTTAAATTAAGCCCTGTGGCTTCTCGCCTGTTTTCACCTGGAGTTCATGCAGGTCACATCCTTATCATATATTTAAAGTGCTCTCACATTACTTCAACACTTGCAGCCTCCTCCTGCCCCCAAATAATCACGGCAAGTGCAATTTGTTAAGGATATTAGGAATTGTAGCAGTACGAAGGGGTCTCCTAACGGCTCTCAGCACCCTAAATAAACTGCAGTTCCCATAATACTTTGGGGGGAAGGTAATGACCGTTAAAGTGGTATTAAAAGCCCTTGAAATGAAAGGTGTGGATTTGAGCTAGTATTGGGTGGCATCCCAAAATGGATGCTGTGGGTGTCCTCCTGCAATATCTGGACTGTGGGTGAGATATTCAAGAACTGTTCTAGCAGCCCAGGGAAATGCCCAATCTACTTGTGGCAGCTCTGCCACAGCCATGTTCTGAAGAGCAGCTTTGACAAGATAGTCACCAATTAACAGATGAAATCTATCAAGTCCCTACACAGCACCATAGCCCTCTATGAACCTGCCAACTCTTTGTTAGCAGCCTCTGGACTCCTGCTCTCTCTTCCAAATAATACAGAAGAAGATAAGGAGAGCCCGCAGGGTCAGATGAATGACCCATCTAGTCCAGCATCCTGATCTCACAGTGGCCACCAAGATACCTGTGTGGGAAATCAATAATAACAATGACAATGACAATAATAATAATAATAATAATAATAATAATAATAATAATAATAATAATTTTATTATTTGTACCCCGCCCATCTCTGGGCAGCTTCCAGCATATATAAAAGCATAGTGAAACCTTAAAAAGCTTCCCTATACAAGGCTTCTTTCAGATGTCTTCTAAAAATCAGATAGCTGTTTTACAGTGGTACCTTGGGTTAAGAACTTAATTCATTCTGGAGGTTCGTTCTTAACCTGAAACTGTTCTTAACCTGAGGTACCACTTTAACTAATGGGGTCTCCCGCTGCTGACGTGCTGCCGCCACACAATTTCTGTTCTCATCCTGAAGCAAAGTTCTTAACCCAAGGTACTATTTCTGGATTAGCGGAGTTTGTAACCTGAAGCGTCTGTAAGCCAAGGTACCACTGTATTTCCTTGACTTCTGATGGGAGGGCGTTCCACAGGGCGGACGCCACTACCGAGAAGGTCCTCTTCCTGGTTCCCTGTAACCTTACTTCTCACAGTGAGGGAACCACCAGAAGGCCCTCGACGCTGGACCTCAGTATACAGGCTGAACAATGGGGATGGAGACGTTTCTTCAGGTACTGGGCCAAGACTGTTTAGAACTGTTTATTGTGTTCAGAAGTGTTACTGTCTTCAACTGTGGAGGCACAGCATAGCCAGCAGATTATGCTAGAACCTGGACCTAACCTGGACCATCGTTTTAGATGGTCATCGGAAGGGATGAAGGACACCATAAACATTTCTTCCTCACCCTCCCATGTCCTACAACAGCCTCTACATTCCTGATGCTTTTAAAAAGTAAAGCTTGCTCACCCTGGTAAACGTAGGGATACTCTTAGCATGTGAATTTGGGTTTTTTTAAAAATTCATTTTAATAATAGCACCATCTGGACAAGAGGAACATAATGGGGTTTGCTGCTGCTGCTGCCCTGTTGCTAAACACATTTACTTGGGGGGGGGGACATAATTTTCTTGTGGAAAAGATTAATATATAATTTAAAGTAAATACATATTATTGTTTACTTTTATTTTAAGAGGGAGAGACAAAGAAAGAAAGAAAGAGAGAGAGAGAGAGAGAGAGAGAGAGAGAAAGAAAGAAAGAAAGAAAGAAAGAAAGAAAGAAAGAAAGAAAGAAAGTAAGTTGTGGTAACCAGCATCAGCCCTGGTGAACCTGAATATGCCCATGCCAGCCCAGATGCTAATGCCAGGCCTGCTTGCCACTGCCCCCATCATCTGATACTGTATGGCTAGTCATCCTCTATCCACCCAAGTGTTTTTTTTCCCCCTGGGGGTACTCATGGGTACACAGTACAGTGGTACCTCGGGTTACAGACGCTTCAGGTTACAGACTCCGCTAACCCAAAAATAATACCTCGGGTTAAGAACTTTGCTTCAGGATGAGAACAGAAATCACGCAGCGGCAGTGGGAGGCCACATTAGCTAAAGTGGTGCTTCAGGTTAAGAACAGTTTCAGGTTAAGAACAGACCTCCAAAACGAATTAAGTTCTTAACCTGAGGTACCACTGTACCAGCACTCTCTCCCCTCCCCAAATGTTAAAAGTTTCATAGAATCATAGAGTTTGAAGGGACCTCAAGGGCCATCTAGTCCAAACCCCTGCAGTGCAGGAGTCTTTTGCCCAATGTGGGACTCAAACCCACAACCCTGAGATTACGAGTCTCATACTCTACCGACTGAGCTATCCTGTGAGTGTGGCACTTACTGTAACAACTTCATGGTGAGTGCTGGCACCTTTTTCTCTCTCCCCCTCTCTCTGCACTGTATTTTATTATGTAAGATACTGAGAGTATTTCAACTAGATTTGTGTGTAGGTAGGTAGTTTCATTTATTTATTTTTTTACAATTGCTATAATAGGCAGAAAAATCATTGAGTGACCGCCAAGGCCCTCATCCATTTTCAAGTGGTTCATTGGGGGAAAGGATTGGGAACTACTGGTCTGCACTGACTGACAGCAGCTCTCCAGGGTTTCAGACTGGAGACATTCTCAGGCCTACCTAGAAGGCCTACCTCTGCATGCAAAGCTTTGCCACATTCACCCCTAGGTATGTGGTCGTGGTATGCTACCAACCCTACCCTGAACATATTAAGGCATAAACGAGTCCTGCTGATTTCAGCGAAACTTATTTCCAAGCAAGGGTGCTTATGATTGCACACATTTCTTTGAAAAAATATTGAATGAAATCACAAACAGGACCATTAACATTTTCATCGTTAACTTCTTGTGGAAATGAGTTTCGTTCACCAAGGCCATGGGTAGGCAAACTAAGGCCCGGGGGCCGGATCCGGCCCAATCACCTTCTAAATCCAGCCCGTGGATGGTCCAGGAATCAGCGTGTTTTTACATGAGTAGAATGTGTCCTTTTATTTAAAATGCATATTATTAAAATGCAAAATTAAAATCCTTTTTATTTAAAATGGGTTATTTGTGGGGCATAGGAATTCATTTTTTTTCCAAAATATAGTCTGGCCCCCCACAAGGTCTGAGGGACAGTGGACCGGCCCCCTGACCAAGACACACAAGCAATCACTTTTTATATTTTGGATAAGGCCGTCATACAGCGGACTCTGCCCGCCTTCCCATTTCTCCCTTCTCTCCAATATTTATTTAAAATGCATCATGTGGTTGCTAATCTAGGGATGCAGAACCCCTAAAATGAGCATGCTGGCTGTTTCCACATCAGCCTCCTCCTTTTCTGTTCTACACTTTCCCCCTAGAGGATGTGAGACGTTGTCTTGAAGCAGAAGCTGATTTCTGCGTGTGGGTGTGCTTTAAAGTGATTTTGGTTCCTGGCTTCATCTGCCTGTTATATGGGAAAGCAAGGGCAGCGTATGATGCAGTGCTGCTCTATCGCTTGATCCAATTTCTTGCAGGTACAATGGACCCAACAGACACACATCTTTGCTGCCTGAAAAGCCTCAGCCTTTCAGTTCAATGGATGAGGCAGTCTTCTGCAGACATCCCTTCTTTGCTCTTGAAGAGATGGAAGTCTCCTCCACTGCACTGAAGCAAATGGAGAAGACAGAATATGCAGGACCTCCCCATGCCCACTGGAGAATATGTAGGGCTTATCTCTTAGTACTGTAGCAATAAAACTGCTAGCACATTTGCAAAACTAAGCAGAATCCAGTATGGTTTCAAATGGGATGGGAAATCTCATGTTGAGATTCCTGCATTACAGGGGGTTTAGATGAGCCTCGAGTTGGCTTCCAGCTCTATGATTCTGGATCAGAGGGTTCCTTGCTCTTACATTAGAGCAATTTTTGCAAAATAAAATAAAATAAAATAAAATAGATAAGCCATGGGAGAATGGGTTCAGGGTAGTGGTACTGGGGCAGGAAGTCTATAGTCTTTCCCCTTTGCATCCACCTCCTCCAAAATGCAAATAGCCCCACTACAGAGAAAAGAAGAAGAAATGGACCAGCTTGGTGGTGATAGCAATTTGACACCTCCCCCCCCCACACACAAAAAATGCCTCAGGGAGAGGGGAACAATTGCTGTTGCAATCAAATCTGGATTCCCTGCCCCCCTCTCCAGCTATTTTTAGGTAAAAATGAAAATGTCAAGATATGGTTGATCAGTGGTGTTCTGCAGCTGTATACATTTTGGCCCTTAGCTACAAAGCTGCTCCAGAACTACACAGGGTCGCTTTTACACAGGGTCCTATGCGTTCACAGGATCAGGGAAAAATGTGAAATAAAGGCATTCCCCAGACCATTAGGATTAAATCCACCTTTCTAGGAACTATGGTTCAAATCAAGAGCGTCATCCTTTGCATCACCTGTATCCATAAGTTTCCAAAAGCATGTTAGAAACCAAAAGGTGTTCTGATTAACATTGGAAGCCCCTATGTGTACAGGTACTTAAGTCTTTTCTGTCTCCTTCCCCATGCAACATGAAAAATGTTTCTTTCAGGAATATTGACACTGTGCTGTTGCTTCAAAACTGGGGAGGGGGAACCATGATAGAGGAGAAGGGAAAGTTGCTTGTTTCATTAGAACAATTTCCAGAGGACAGAATGTTGGGCAGCCACATGCAGGGCCAGATTACCAATAGGCAGAGTAGACACCAGCCTTTTAGGGGCCCCGCGACAATGGATCAAAATAATATTGATTTGATCTTGTAAGAAAATTATAATCAAGCTTTCTTAGTTCAATGTGAGGGGGACCCCAAGATTTCGGCTGCCTCCACAGGGTTTAATCTGGCACTGGCCACATGAGTCTGATGCAGCGAAAACAAAGAATCTTGTGGTGCCTTTAAGACTAACAAATTTATTATATGGCACAAGATTTGATGGATTAGGCCCCACTTTGTCAGAAGCATCCTTTAAGTCTTCCTAACTGCTCTGTAGTGTAGATTGAAAATGTACTCTGAAAAGAGAGGGAGGGAGAGAGGGAGAGGTAGAGGGAGAGAGAAATCCCAGCTGATGGCTGTCTTTCTCTAACCCTTTCCAATCACAGGCTAGCAGTTAAAATAATCCTCACCTACTGGGCATCTAGTGGAGTTGATCTACCTTTTCTGTTGGGAGGTTCATGTCCAGTCAAGCTTCGTTAATCTGGACCGAGCCCTGAACGATCACAAATATAACGCCAAACAGCTACACCTGTTTATCGAGTCAGTTCATTTTCCCCTCCTCGGCTCCACGCTGAAAAGGAGCATTAATTAAAACAGTAAACAAACGAGCTCCTATTCTAAATCAGAGCTGCAGGCAACGGAGAGATAACTTAGACTCTTGAGAAGAGGGATTTCCAGTTAATTTATGGAATCGACTGTCATTCTCAGGGCAAGGAGGCTTGGCTTAGTAGGGGAATTGAAGCAGACAGCCTGTGTCTAAACACTTCTTTTTCACAGAATATCTTCATTTCTCTCTCCCCCCCAAACCTTCCTGTTTGAATTTTTAATCAGCTTGGCTTTGACTTTTCAATGGAGGAAGTAGCTCAGTTTTTGCCTGCTATGTCTAGCTCCTCACATTTTCTAAGGATTGGAGTTGGTTGTGAGCGACCACTAAATTGGCCCCACTTATGGTGGTGTGTGTAGCCACAAGGGGAAAAAAGAAGCCCCCCATTTGGGATTTCCTATGGGATAGTGAGGATCACCTGTACAGTGGTACCTCAAGTTAAGAACTTAATTCGTTCTGGAGGTCTGTTCTTAACCTGAAACTGTTCTTAACCTGAGGCACCACTTTAGCTAATGGGGCCTCCTGCTGCTGCCGCGCCACCACCGCCACACGATTTCTGTTCTCATCCTGAAGCAAAGTTCTTAATCCGAGGTACTATTTCTGGGTTAGCGGAGTCTGTAACCTGAAGCATTTGTAACCTGAAGTGTCTGTAACCCAAGGTACCACTGTATAACAAATAATAGTGGGACACAATTTTCAGATAATGCAGATAATGTACTGGGCATGTATCTTCTTCTGAGTCCACAGACTGGGCCAAATTTGCAGACACCCATTCTGCTCCAGTAGGAGAGATCTGCAAAACTGTAACTGTGCATTGAAACAACTACAAGGGTTAATGGTCTGCTTCCAAACGTAATTCGAAAGTGGAGGTTAAGACCTTTTTAAGCCCTATATTCACTCATTCATTCATTCATTTATCACATTTATATTGTGCCTTGCCTCCAAGAAGCCCAAGGCCACAATTTATCCTCATTAACAGTCCTGTGAGATAGGCAGAGAGAAAGTGCTACACTTGTGCAGTTCAACTTGTAAAAAAAAAAAAAATGAGCAGGAAGATCTTTTGTTTCCTTCTTTTGGAAATGAAATATCTTTCTGCTCATTTTTTAAATATATATATATATAAGTTGAACTGCACAAGTGTGGCACTTTGTCTCTGCCTAACCTACTTCAATCTGATGTGGGGGGCATAGATCTTAAGTAGCCATCTCTGGGCCAGCTCACACATTTGCACTTGACCACACATTCAGCACACAATACAGTTGAAAGTGTCAATGGAGTCCATTAGAAAGCCTTGGGTTTGAGGTGGTTTGAAAACTCTGTGGTGTGATGTCTCCCTTACCTGTGCAAGCTACCACCTGGTTCCGCAATGAACATGCGGGGCTGGCCTGCCCATGAGGCGTGGTAAGGCACCTGCCTTGGGCGGCAAAAGTCCTAGGCACCCCACTCACTGAAATCTCACGAGATCTTGCAGGCCACACAAGATCTCATAATATTCCAGCTCTGCCATACTATGCAGGTAAGGGAGGCTGGCAGCGTGGAGCAGTGGTGACAGCATGGTGGGGTTGTTTGTTTCATTTTACCTCAAGCAGTGAAACGGGACCTGGCGCCTCCTGTGGACATACTTGGGTAAACCTCAGTTTCCCCATAGGTAAAGATGGAATAAAACTCATTCTTCTGGAAAACAATGTTGTCTTTGTACTTAACCCCCTCCTGTGCCTTAACCCCCTCCTGTGCATGGAAATTCAACCCCTAATTAGTGACTGATGCCTCAATCTTGAATCGTTCTCCTATAAGGCTGTGAGAAGCTCTGCCTTATACAAAGTATGAGCAAGGCCTACAGCAGGCAGGTGAAATATTAAAGCAACATTTGGCCTAGAATTGAACTGCTACCGTCAAGCACGATGTCAGTCTTCTTCACTCCGAGACTGTTTCTCAACTCACATTTCTGTTGGGACTCTCTAACTTAGGTAATTAATATATTAGATGGATGTTTTATTTTTATTTCAGGCTGGGGTTTAGAATTCTTCCATTTGCAATATCACAACCAAATTGTAGTTTTCAAAAAAATTATAGACAGTCCCAAGGCAGAAAAACAAATTTCCTCTCTGAATCTTTGTCACTTCATCCTCCTTGAGAGAACGGGAAACGTCTGGTACATATTTCAAATCATCCTGCTTTACTTGTGGCGTATCCAGTAATCATGTTGACAAATTAATGGTAGAGAATTAGTTGTACATTAAAGATTGAAACTGTATTATGCGGTACATTGTCATAAAGAGATATAAAACAATAGGAAAATAAATGTAAATGAATTCAGGCTGGTGACATGTAAAACGCTTAGACTGACATCTGTACACTTAACAACTTCCAAAGCTCTGCTTTATTACACATAAAGTAAGAGTGAGGTATAAGAAGGGTTGGGGAAAGTCATCCTTTGCTCAGATCTACGAAAGCATTGGAATTCATGCCTTTTCCAAGAGAGGCAGTAAGTTCAATGGAAACCTGCCCGATCCCATGTGCTGTTATGGTTGCTGCAGTGGAAACAGACATTTGTCCTGCAATGGCTGAAATGGGATTTCATTGCTGGGCTGGTATGCAAAGGCAAGCCACCACAAATACCCCCTGCTCCTTTGTTGCACTGATTTGTAATGCAAAAAGGAGCCTAGGAAGAGGGCCTTTTCAGTTGTGGCTCCCTATTTGCATGGGCATAGCCGGGGGGCGGGGGGCAGCTGCCCCCCAAATCAATAAAAATCAATAAAAATGCTTAACTAACTTAGGTTCTGCCTCCCTAACAAAAATCCTGGCTACTCCCTTGCCCATTTGTGGAATGCTCTCCCAGGTGACGTCCACCTGGTACCTGTACTGGCATCTTTTTGGTGTCAGGTAAAAATATACCTCCCCTGCTCTGGGCTTTTGATGGACTACGGTGATGTTGTTTGCTTTTAGTTGTGCTGCCGGCGCTTTCCGCTGCTGTTGTTGGGGTTTGCTTCCGGTGTTGCCTTTTACGAATTGCATGTATTTTTGTGCAAATGTGTTTGTCTTATACTCCATCTTTACTTATGCCAAAGGGCAAGCCAGGAGTCAGAACTGTGAAGCAAGTCATAAACCGTAAGATAAAACAGGAGGCAGAACCAACAAATATCCAAGGGTACAATAACACACTGATAAGGTCAAGCAAGTGAAACAGGAAGTCCTTATATTCCTTCCTGCCCAGGAAGATCCCATGAGCCACCATGGGTATGGTAGTCGGTTCTGAGCCGAAAGGTTCTTGCAAGTGAAGAGATTCACTCTAAAAAAAATGTTTAGGGGTACTCTCATTTTCCTACTCATATTGAAATACTGCCCCTCAATGAGGCCAAACTTAAAATGTTTAGGGGTATGCATACACCTGTGTTCTCCCAGAAAAAAAAGCACTGGATTCACCACTCGGTGCAGTCTCAGATAGACCCCACAGACTCTGACAATATCAGGGCTCTAGATTATCAAGAAGGATACTAATTGTTTTGATATCCCACCCGTGAGTGAGTGATGGATGAGCATTTCTATATAAAGTAACTGTAGGGTTGTCATCATGTTAGATTGAATGAGCAGTCAGTTCGTGTACAAACCAGTTGAGCTATATAAATCAGCCGGAGTACACTTTTTCACACTATACACTTGCACATGCGTGGAGACGACTTGTACTTACGTTGAGTGTAATGGGTGAACAAGTATTTTTAATAAAGCCAGTTTCAAACAATGAATCATATGCCGGCATGACTAAGAAATAAAATATCACGCGGTATAGTGGTTAGAGCCCCAGAGTAGGATCAGGGAGGTTTGTGTGAATCTCACCACTCAAGGCATGAAGTACACTGGATGACTTTGGTTTCGTCGTGGTTGTTTTTCAGCCTTGCCTACCTCAGGCGGCTGTTGTGAAGATTGTAAGGGAGAGAAAAAGAACCATTACACCAGCCAGAGTTCATTGGGGGAATGGCAGGGCAAAAAAATATAATACAGTGGTACCTCGGGTTACATACGCTTCAGGTTACAGACTCCAGTAACCCAGAAATATTACCTCGGGTTAAAAACTTTGCTTCAGGATGAGAACAGAAATTGTGCTCCAGCAGCGCGGCGGCAGCAGGAGGCCCCATTAGCTAAAGTGGTGCTTCAGTTTCAGGTTAAGAACAGACCTCCAGAACGAATTAAGTACTTAACCCAAGGTACCACTGTAAATGTAATACATGTTGGATCAGCAGCACAGTGTTGCAGTGTGGGTTGCTTACTGTTTAGCCACACCATTCATTCTCTGTCCCGGTATTATTATTATTATTAAAATTAAAATTAAAATTTGTATACAACCCTTTACCCACAGGTCTCAGGGCAGTTACAACATAAAATCAGAATATAAAAACACAAAATACATAATCAAAATAAAAACAAAAACAACCCCCTCCCCCAACACATTTTAAAAGGGCATTGGATGTCAATCAGCCCAAGGCCTGGTTAAAGAGGAACATTTTTGCCTGGCGCCTAAAGGTGTATATTGAAGGCGCCAGGCGAACCTCCCTGGGGAGAGCATTCCGCAGACAGGGAGCCAATGCAGAGAAGGCCCGTTCTTGTGTTGCCACCCTCTGGACCTTTCGTGGAGGAGGCACATGAAGAAGGGCCTCAGAAGATGATCTCAGGGTCCAGGTAGGTTCCTAAGGAAAGAGACGGTCCTTTTCTTCTTCTCTCTGCAGCTAGTCAGCATTCCACAGCCACTAAGCACACTTCACCCTTATTGGGCTGTTTTAGGGGTTCCCAGCTAAATTCGATCGCAACACCGAGGGCTGGTATTCAATGCTAGTCCAACCTGGAGTAGACCCACTGATGTTAGTGCACATGGTTTACTTTCATTCAGCGAGTCTACTCTAAAGCAGGACTTGGCTGAATATAACCTCAGCAATCCACGCCATAGTAACTTTCGAGAGGACTGTACGAAAAGATTTTTGGGTCCGTTCCCCCCTTGCAACTGCTCTCAAATCAATCTCTCTTCTTAAAAAAATGTATTAAGAAGCAGGCTGGGGAGGATTCGGCGCTACCCCACCCGCCTCGCTCTCATAAATACCAAAGTGAGATTGCTTCCAGGGCCACCAGCCCTTCGACTTTCAAGTAGGGAGTGGACACTACTGTGCCGGCTAATTATAAGGATTCAGTTTCCTGGTATGAAGGAATGTGCTACCTGCAGCAAAGGATGCATGAGCGATCAGGAACCAGAGAGGGATGGGGAGGAGGAAGCCGAGCTGAATGCCACATAGAACTGAAGCCGTAGCCCCAGGTTTATACCCACAATCCTGGCCCCTGCCGGGAGACTAATCACTTGGCCATTCTCATTTGCTGTTGTCCAATCAATTCCTGAATGGCAAAACTTCACAATGCGGAGTATGAATTAGAAGGGAGGGGTGGGGGGTGGGATGGTGGAAATAAATGTGGGTGCAGAGGGGTTTTTTGTGGTGGTTGGGTCCCCCCCCCTCTTTTTTGCAACAATACCAAACTGAGCCTTTGAGAGAGGACAACAGACGGACAAAGGCACGGCGGAAATAGGAGTAACTTTTGGAGGGCCTCATAGCTTTTGTCAATAAGAGTTAGCGCCATAATGGTAGCATTGGCCCCTCTATTGTATTGCAGGACCGTTGTTTGTAAGTTGTTTTATTTTATTTTTGAAAAATAAAGCCATAAAATGGAACATTTTCTTCTTGCCTTTGTCTGGAAAATACTGAATTGGACCAAATGTCCTCCTTGTGTGTTTGCTGGATTGTTATTTTTTATGTATATATAATCATTTACAACCTGCATGAAGAACTTACATTTCACTTTCCCTCCCCACTCTGAAGAATAGGAAAGCATATTGAGCCAGACAGATGTCAGGTCCCTGTTTTAAAATTTAGCTTTGTTTACCCAACAGAATGGAATTCATTACGATGCAAAAATGGCTCAATTTTGTGACCTCTTTTTTTTTCATAATCCAGAGTGTCGACAATATCAAAAAGCTCATTTGAAGGTCACAGGTTTATGTATCTATTCTCTTAAGTGTTTCAGAAAATTTATATGGAGAATGCCAAAAGTGGAATATGTACAAACATAGTCTTCATTGTTTACCCTAACCTTGCCATTATTATCAGATAGACAGTGTGTAGGAAAAAAGCATTAAAAGCTATTATGAGCAATGGAATTTCCCTCCCTTTTCTTACCAGAAGACTTTTCATTTTAGCCCCTGATCTGAAAAGGTCACTTTTTCATTCTTTGCAGTTGGTTCTTTTTATAACTTCTATATTTCAAGCATGGGGAGGGGAAAAAAAATCTTTGGTGAAACTATTTTTCATCCCTGCAAGTAGTAATTCATTTCATTGCATCTGGATGTTTTACATGTAGTTCCAGTCGGCATTTTGCTGACATCGACAGCTATAAAAGCCGAATGCAAGGTGGAGTGTTTGTTTGTTTTAAAACCAGGTGCTCCCTCCCCTTGGATAATTTAAAATTGGCAGAATTAATAAATCGTTGACTTCTGCCTAATCTGAGGATGTGAAATGATTTAATTTTGTTATATATAGTGGCATATGGTTTGACAGGCCAGCTAATATTTAACTGTTACTTAATTCCTCCAGTTCTCTGCCTTTTGTTAAAGGAACTTTTCTGGCTGGATCTTGTTGCTCCGGTCCATGCTAATTGCAGCTTGCATTATATTACAAATGGCTTTGTAAAGAAAACTATACCGTAAACCTGGAAAGTTGCATGTTTCTATTTGCACAAACTTGATGCACTTATTTTGAGAGGGTCATTGCAAAGGGAAGCTGTATAGGCCATAAGAATGTCCCGTATAATAAGCTTAAACAGAACCTTTTGTCAAGCCCAGTATTCTCAGGCCTGAAAATTAGGCCTCCTTTTCCTAACTGCAAGCTGAAGTGGTTCATTACTGCGGCTTCCTTCGCCGGGCCTTGGCCCAGCCAATCCCCCCCAGTACTCAAGGTCTGTAACTTCCTTAAAAAGGAAGAAGGAAAACAGGCTACACAAAGGTCTTGTTAGCACTTCCTATGCGAAATTAGCAGCTTTCTAAAAGGTACAACTCCAATTACCTCACATAGTGGGGACGCACACAAACCCAACAAAGACTCCAGTCTTGCAAGTGACATTCTGTCTTTCTAGAGTTACTTCCCTAATTAGGAGTGAAGAAGGCCTATTCTAGTGAGTGCATCTATTTACAGTGGGGCACAATGCTTTAACTTGAGCGTCTTTCTGAAAGACCAGTGTTAAAAAACACAAGTGCTCTTTTGGCAAAGCTGTCTATGGAGAAGCGCCACATTCCTAACGGTTACACCCTCTACAGAAAAAAGAGAGAGAGATTGAGAGAGAGGGGGGGGAAGTGTAGGTCCTTCTACCATCAACCCCCCCCCCCACCGGTATTGTTCACACTTCAAGATTCGTTTTAGACAATAAAGCTTCTGCCCAGTGAGCGCTGGGAATTACAGTGGACAATGGAGGAGGCATTCTTAAGAGTGTCTAATGATGGGGGGGGAAAGAAAAATATTTATTGCTTTTGACAGTTTCACAAGGGGCAAAAATCCTTGTCATGGTTTAAAGTTTCCACAGCTGTTTGGAGGGGAGGGTGGCGTCTACGGACTGGAAACAGTTCGGCGTCTTTGTTTAGCAGGCCAAGCGCAAAAGGGGCCAAGCTGTGAAATTAAAGATGTAAGTTCATTAAGGTAAGAGAAATTGCGCCAGCGTTGTTGTTGGTACAGGTGTAAGCTGCGGGTCAAGATGGCCCCGACCAATTTGCATATTGCTTTCTTGACATGGGAAGATACCTTTTTCTGAATCCATGTGTAGAGAGATATATAGGGAAAGGCTTTATTTCTATATTTATATGTTTATTTAGCTCCCTCTTTTTTTCTATAGGCCCCTTTTCACTATAAAGGGCCTCAAAGCAGTTTACAAAACAAGCAACAGAAGAAAAGCATGAGACAAATAAGATGGCGTATAAAACAGCAGATACAGATATAGATAGGCACTTGTACCTTGGCAGATAGTGGTCTACATGCCATCCACTTTCACATTCTCGTTGGGGAATAAAGCAAGTTTGTCCTTGTTTACAAATGCAACACATCTGCATTTGTTCAGGAACACATTCATTTCATCCATCCATCCATCCATCCAACATTCTTTTCCACCTCTGTTGCCTTTCCTATAGCCTAATTTAGATTGTAAGCGCCTTGTGGGAAGAGACCTGCCTATTATTTATCCGGCGTGTAAAAACTCTGTAAAAGCATCACATAGTTGCTTAAATAATTAATAGTGTTTTTGAAGACAATTAGGAAACAGACCCATTTACACAGATGGGTTATCTATCTGTCTATTTGTGTCTATATGTCTTTCAGTCTATTTGTCTGTCTGTCTGTCTGTCTGTCTGTCAGTATCTATCATTTCCCCCACATGGTTTTATCACAGATTTTGACGGTGACACTTCCTTTGCTCTCTTATCTCTCATTAAAAGTTGTTTTGAAAATCCATGGTTCTTGCTGCAAATGAACCCAGATTATTAACATTTATTCGCTGTGGGGCTTTGTTTTGTTTTGTTTTGTTTTACCTCAGAAGACTGCAGCTTGTTAAGAGGAAGGTTGTTAAATGGTTCTGTTCTTCTCCACAAAGCTCATAGCAAGTGAAATTTTCTTTAAAAATTAATTTCGGAAAGGAAAGTGATCATGCTCTGTAGCTGCAATGCTGCTGTAATGTTCATGCTGCCTATATGATCTATACCCAGGAAATAAAAGTAAAATCTGTGCCTAAACTCATCCAAATGGAAGGAACTGACAGCAAAGTCTCAAAGCATGCTTTTTAAAAGTAAGTCTCATTGAAACACAGAGTTGTGTTTGATTCTGAGGCTATAGATCACTTGCATGTGATGATGTCAGTGTGATATTTAATGTGCAATTAGGCTGTAAAGTTAATTTTAATGCTCATTTTCAAATAAGACAAGTAAGTCATTATCATTACATTTTGAGAGCTTTAGGCTGTAATCCTAAAAACACTTAACACAAAGTAAACCCCACGGATACAGTGGAACTTGCTTTTTTTTTTTTTTTGTAAACATGCAGAGAATTGATTGTGCTACATGTTACATTTCTGGATAGAGAGAGAGAGAGGGAGGGAGCGCATCATGGATGCAGAACTGAGAGAGTATCTAATTTCATCATTTTGCGAAGCAGTGGTTTAGATAAATGACCTTTTGCACACAATTGTTTTGCAGAGGTCAATTTTTAAACTATTGTTCAGTTTTGTACCTGAGAAGAGAGTGCAGTTTAAAGCTGATGGGCTACTTTTCTGCAATTGCACCCATATTGTGATGCTGCAATGCCCTTGATAGAAAGAAACGGCTGTCTTGAGACAGTGGCATAGCCTGCTTGGAACACTAATGTCCACATATCTATCTGCCCGTTCTCTCATTCAATTTTTAGAAGCTTTTAAAAGGCAGACTTTTCTATAGCAAGGCTTCCTGATTCAGGCATTCTGCCTCTGTTTCGAAGCCAGGTCTGTTTTGGATAAGTGCTTCATTGTCTCTCATTCTGTCTTGGGCAGAATATTGAAATATTTATCTTGGATTGGGGGTCTAATTCTGCTCAGCAGACATCAGTCAAAAGTGTTTCATTGACTTGGGGTTGCAAGTTGATCTGTCCTGGGTTTTCTCCCCATTTATTTCTCTTGAGCAAGATGCCTTAGGAAAAAAAGGTGGATAATCTTCAGGAAGTGGGGAACAACAGCCTTGCTAATGCACAGGAGAATCTGCTGTTATCAAAGAGTGGTTTTTCTTCTTCTTCTTTTTGCTCAGACACAAAATAATTATTCTCTTTCCCCCTCCCCATCCTTTCCCCCCCCCTTTTTGGCAACAAACAAGCAGAGAAGCTGATGTCTTTGCATAAGAGAACTGCGGCAGCGACTTGTAACCCTACCAGTCAATTTTTTAAAAGGTAGGCTTAACACTCTCTTTTTCATGTGTGAATAATGGATTCTGTTTTGCTACATAAAGAATTATTTGAAATGGTGCAGCCGAGTTAAAACATACATCCGTTTAAAACCAATTTAGCATTTGCATTCAGAGATATTTCAGATGCCCCATGTTTTATGCAGCTGCCCCATGTTTTATCCTTTTAGCAAAAGGTAAGCTCTCCAAATGATAATTTGGTGTATTTGAAAACATGCCCGTAGAATGGTGTGAGTCTCTTTATTGAGCTATTAACATTTCATATCTGTCCATATTGCTAGCACTTTCTTTCATGCTTTAACTATTTAACCGATCTGTTCTATTTTAAAATTTACAGCAGTGCTCAGAAGCATTAAATATCAGTTATTGTGGAAGGTTTGTGTTTGTATTTTGTTTCATTAAAAAGACAAACAACATGGAGATGCACGTTTTGCTAACAACTGCAGTCAAATAAATGACTAACACCACCAAAATGTAACACACCAAATACTAATCACAAGTTTGCAGTAAAGAACACTACAAGTGGAAGTATCACAATACAGTACACTGTATTTGCAACTTGTAAAAAAAGCATAATCTGAAGAGAGAGAATTTGCAATAAAGGAACACTTATTACACAAATATATATTTATTCAAGAAAGATAAAAGTGTTTACCTTGAGGTGTGTGCTTTTTATCCAGTATTAATTTACCCAGAAAAGGAGGAAAAATATATTTCCAAATGTATCAGAATGTTGAAGATGTTGCTATCAGTGATGCACCTAGCTGATATATAAATATAGGCTATTACTGCTTAGATGTAATTCCAAGTATAAGCTCAGCCCTGTGATGCTACCTATATTTTAATATTTCTATTCAAGCAGATGTAAAAAATGACATTGAATGGGTAGACATATGCCCATGGACAACACAATATTTACAGATTCAGAGAATCTCACCCCATATAATTTTAGAAATATGTGCTGGTGTAGCTAAAATGGATAATTTTCGACAAACACCCCATTCTTAAAAAATATGTACCTGGAAGTAAGATTCCATTAATTTCAACTGAATTTAGGATCACAACCAAGGTAGTGTTTTAGAAATGCCTAGAAGTAGCCATTTCAAATACTCTTACATAATTGTATTAGACTTTTAACAATATCATAATTCTTAATAAATTGTTATTTCCTAACAAACTTTAGGCTGGGTTTTTAAAAGTGACACCCATTTCCCCCCCTGTCAATGTTGTTAACATAAAAACATTAAATTTATTTGCTCAAAAACTATACGGTTTCTTTTTTTACAATTGATGGAATTCAGTTTGAAACAATTAAAAAAAATTGTTCCCTTGGGAAAATATATCAAACTTACAGACCAGTCCTAGAAGGAAAAACCACTTTGTCTATGACTTTTACTTCCAAGTAAGTGTGCATAGAAAAGAAGTGCCCATTTCTGATTTCTTCTTCTAAGTATACAGTTAATTCAATGCATGCAGTCACTAGGAGGGTGTATTTGCAGTGGATATATGGTTTGGGGCATATAACTGAACGGTTGGGAAAAACTTTTAAAATGCTAAATTATCATCGCTTTGCATATATGTATATATTTGTGTGTGTTTGTGGAAAATACTCTCATTAAAGAGGTGGATCACGAATCTGAAGAAAGTGTATGAAGTGTAGCATGCAAAACTAAAATGCACTTCCAATTTCCAGGTAAATAAAATTGGAAAATGTTCTTAGAAATTCTGCTGTGCTGCATTTTTTCTCCTGCCTTCTGCAGTTCTGAATTTCTTCTGCTCCTATTCTGAGGATTAGCAATTTAAGTTATGTATTAAACATATCTGGCAAGCTCAATCTAAGAGTCATTATACATGTTTTAATAGCAAAAAATGTGTCATTGCCAGACACAATTTTAATATTTCAAGATATGCTTCTTTCCCTTAATAGCCTGATTAGCAAATTTACTTGGAAGGGTAGTTTTAAGATGCATATTGTGGCCAGCAAAATAAATATTCAAGATGCTTTCCCCCCCTTTTTTTAAAGGTTTTTTATGCTTAAACAAATTTCTGCAAATCAGTGTGTATTTATTTATTTATTTAAAGTCATTGCTAAGAATATGTACAAAAACTTTGCAATGTACACTATATTTCCAGTCCCTAATTTGAAGGCCCTGGATAGATTATTAGGCCTTGATCCATGAAAATCATATGCACTGATCATTAGTCATGGCATGCTGGCATGGTCTTGAATCTTTGAAAAAAGAAAATAGATATATTTGCTTTTCCATAAGTAAATAAGGCATTTTCATAGTGAGCAAGATAACTGTGATGTCCTTGTGTTTTGTGTCATGCCCCACCTAAGAATTATTGTTTTTTTTACATGCCAGCTTTAAAAGATCCCTTTCCTATTGACCTGGGAAGTCACAACAGGGATCCGTCTATCTGTTCAACATCCCCGCAGCTGTGAAAGATGTCATAGGTTAGACCAGGAATGGGAAACTGTTGATCCTCATATGCTGTTGGACTCCAACTCCCATCAGCCTCATGAAGCATGGGATAACAGGCGTTGCAGTCCAATAACATCTGGTGGTCATAAGTTCCCCCATCCCTAAGTTAGACCTAAACATTACTGCTAAAAATGGCCCCTTCGTGTTGACGTCAGCCCCAAACATGTAGTCAACACATAGTATCTGATGGCCTTACTTTGTCTATTTCCCTGCCCAACCAATGTGGATGAGGAGACTCACATGATGGTGAAGCTGTGTCATGGAGATGTGTGGCAGAATAGAGAGGGAGAATATGGAGGTTGCTGTTTTCACCAGCATCACACTGGTGCATGCAGTCTGTCGTTCTGGGTACATGAGTGGTCTCAGCTTTATCACTGCCAACACCCACCTTGAGCTAGTATAAAATGAAATTGGATTCCTGGTGACTCTAGCTCACAGGTGTGGAAGATGAGTGGTAGAAAAGTCATGTTGCGACCTGCGTGGCTACGAGGATGTTAGAGAGACAGGATGGATCTTTGGGTTTGGGGGTTTTCAGTCTACAAAAATGGCAGGCAAGGGGAAGACATGATAGAGCTGCAAAAATCTGTGTACTGTGTGAAGGAAACAGATATACAGAAGTGTTTCCTTCCACCTTTATTTCTCACAACACTGGAACCTGGGTTCAGCCACAGAAAGTGAATGGTGAAAGATTCGGGACAGGCAGAAGGAAGTACTTCTTAACTCAGCCCGTAGTTAAACTATGGGATTTGCTACCAATAAAATGTAGCGATAACCACCTATGGCTGTGATAGGAGGGGGAAAAACAAGTTCATGGAGCATAAAGTGATCAATAGCTACTAGTCATGATGGCTAAATATTACTTCCAGTGCTATAGGAAGTGATAACAGCTGCTAGGAATCATCTGTGTGGAGAGTGCCATGGGAATAGATTGCTGGATTAGATAGGCCTTTGATTTGATCCAACAGGGCTTATGGGTTGCAATTTAGCAACCCGTGTCTCAGTGAGTATTCGGGTGCCATAAATTAGGTTCTCACAACTTGTGACCAATCTTACAACTTGTGACTCAATAAATCTTACATTTTGACAGCCAGTCTGGTGCTTCAAGAAGGATGGGGACGTCAAGCACCAAATATATCACAAAACAGAGAGAGAGGAGGCAGTGATTATATATGTGGAAAAAAACAACAGTGTAATTCTAGAATTAGAACATGTGTCTACTCCCAGGGAAATGTGCATAAGCTAAGGACTGCCATGTGACTGGGTTTTCCTGGACACGTCAGGGAATTCGGCCGGAAAATGGCATCTAGGCAGATTTTCAGCAAATTGGGAGGAAATAAATGTCTGGGGAAACCCAGACATATGGCAAAGGAGGAGATAATTTAAAAAAAATTAAAATTAAAAATTAAAAAAAGGCCAAAAAGTTTGCTTTTGGGAGGAGATGTTTTTCACTTTTGGGAATATGGCAACCCTAGCATAAACCCAAATGCAGCCCAAAAATACTGTTCCATTAGGCCAGGACTGAGGAACTTGTGGCCTTCCAGGCATTGTTGGCAGCCCAACTATTTCTGACTCTTGGAAGTGCTAACATCCAGGTTTCCCATTCCAGCATTAAACCATTATGTGTGTGCACGTCTATGTGTGCATGTGGACCAAATATATTTGATGTATTTGAAAATAATCACACAGAAAGGTAATTGACACCATAAGTCAGCCTTGGCCAACCTGGTGCCTTCCATACATTTTGAACTACAACTCCCATCAGCCCCTGTCAATAGGTGCTGATTGGGACTGTTGGGAGCTGTAGTCCAAAATGTGCCACTCTACAACACAAATAGTTTCAAGGTGGCCTGCAGATACACATGGAGGGCACCAGGTTGGTCCAGGCTGCCTTAAGTATTCAAAAAATGTATGCTGTCTCTCGTCACACACCACACTTCCTCTTTATGGCAGCACAGTCCATTCAGAAGTTTCAGAATTATACCTTAATTGTGCCATAAAGATGAGGCACCATGGCGGCCGCCATGGCAGAAAGCAGCTCCTGAAGCCATCCGAGTAAACGGCTCTGGCTGGCTGGCTCCCGGGCTGCCAGGACTGCTGCCACAAGCGCCACCAGCAGAGAGGAATCGGGGTGCCCGGTGCATTTATCAGAGGAGCCGAAACACCCCCCGCACACACACAACCTTGATCGAGCCAGGAAGGCACCCGGCCACTCACCCAACAACCCAGAGGAGCTCCAGGACCAGGAGGACCGCGGTGCTAATGCGAAGAGGGGGAAGGAAAGGGGGAAAGAGAAAAAGAAAAAGGAGCCCCAACCTTACTGTTGCTGCTGCCATCGCTGCCGCTGACGGGAAAGAAGAGTAGAGTGTGCACCACTGAGGAGACTGCGGGAACCCCAGAGAAGCCCTCGAAACACAGCCCAGATGGGACACAAATGACCGCCTAATCCAGAGGCTTTGTAAAAGCCACCAGTCAACAATGCCTGTGCAGCTCAGCAACAACCAGGAACCACCACAACTCCAAATCACAACACCCTCCTCCCCAAGAGGACATCAAGCAGGTCTTAAACCAAAAGCATCAGTGAGATTGCGGTGACACCAACCAGGGAGATGGCAAACAACACTGAGAACACAACACCCCCCCAAGATGAGAACGACACAGCAACAACAAAACAAGAACTGAAGGAAGTGAAAACAAGACTAACAGAACTACTGAAAGCATTCAGTGACCTGACCACCAAAGTGGAAACTCTAGAAAACAAGAACCAAATACAAGAAAGAATAATAGAGGAGTACTGAGAGAAAAACACACGTGTGAATAATAAGTTGGCTGAACTAGAAAGAATAGAAACGGAAAACACAGAAATGAAAATCAAACAAGCAGACCTCGAAGATTGCGGTAGACGCTGCAACATCTGCTTCTGCAACTTTCCTGAAAAAGTGGAGGAGAAAAGCCCAGCAGACCTAATTGTTCGCTGGCTGAAAAATACTATCCCAAACCTGGCACTCGATGTAGACGACCTGGAGCCCTAAAACCTATGCTGAAACCTAGCGCCTCCCCAAGAGACATCGTTGTGTGCTTCACACGCTACAAAAAGAAAGAAGAGGTATGAAATAACCTCAGAAACTCAACCAACCTTTGATACGGACACAACCCAATATTAGCCTTACAGGATTTATCTCAGGACACCCTAAATCGGAGGAAAAGCCTACACCCATGCACCCAGCATCTCCAACAAGCAGGGATCAAGTACCGATGGGACTTCCCCTTCTACCTCATTGTAACAACCAACACAACACAACACATGGCTACCAACATATCTGAAGTCCTGCAACTACTGAAGAACCTCGAACTCGACCCTCCACTGGAATGGCAACCGACAGACCACCAAGTGGCAGCCACGACCACCACAATGAAACAACAGCAAACAGAATTCTACTCCAACCTATGCACCTCCTTTAACCCACCTGAGAAGGAAATCAGAAAATTCCTAGCAGGACTGACCATGCCTACTTTAACTGATAAGGAACAGGAATTCATGTATAGTCCTATCACCCCAGAGGAAATAGATACGATCCTCAAAAACCTAAAACCACACAAAGCCCCAGGTCCAGACGGATTCACAGCAGAATTCTATAGGAAATTCAAAGAACCCCTGATGCCCTAAATGACCCGCCTATTCAATGACATCATAAAAGGGGAGCCCATCCCCAAAACCTGGACCCACTCCAAAATAGTCTCCATCCCCAAACCACTGAAAGACAGCCTCAAAGTAGAATCATACCGCCCAATCTCATTAATAAACCAAGACTACAAAATATTCACATCAATCTTGGCCAACTGCCTAAAAATATTCCTACACAAGTTAATAGCCCCAGACCAGACTGGTTTTGTCCCTGGCCGCAATATAACAGACCCCATCAGGAAACTATTGAACCTGATCTAACACTGCAAGGCAACTAAATTCCTACTGACAATCATGTCCCTAGACATCCTCAAAGCTTTTGATCGCTTAGAGTGGAAATACATATTAGCAGTACTAACTAACCTGAAATTTGGCCCCAACTTCCTACAAATCCTCAAACAAATATACTCCCAAGCCTCAGCAAAATGCAGAGCTAACAATATGGACTCTAATACTATAGCAATCCAAAGAGGCATGAAAGAAGAAGAAGAAGAAGAAGAAGAAGAAGAAGAGGAGTTTGGATTTGATATCCCGCCTTTCACTCCCTTTAAGGAGTCTCAAAGCGGCTAACATTCTCCTTTCCCTTCCTCCCCCACAACAAACACTGTGTGAGGTGAGTGGGACTTTGAGAGACTTCAAAGAAGTGTGACTGGCCCAAGGTCACCCAGCAGCTGCATGTGGAGGAGCGGAGACGCGAACCCGGTTCACCAGATTACGAGACTACCGCTCTTAACCACTACACCACACAAGGATGCCCACTGTCTCCCTTCTTATTTATCCTGGCTCTGGAACCCTTAGCAATCCAAATCCGAGCAGCCACAGACATCAAGGGGATGGAAATAAAAGGCAGAACCTATAAATTAGGGCTCTTTGCAGATGACCTAATGGTCACAACACCAGATACCATAAGCACAGCAACCTCCCTAATCAGAGAACTCAACACATTTGCAATGGTGTCGGGCCTACAGGTAAATTTGCAAAATAGTCAGAAGCTATGTGCTTCAACACCCCTCCTCACACACAAAAAGAACTCACTAATGTCACCAAAATAAAACTTTGCCACACCAAGTTCAGATACCTAGGGGTACAAATAACCAGAAACCTCAATAAGTTGTACCTCCACAACTACAAGCCCCTGTGACAACAAATTAAGAAAGACCTAAAGAGATGGAACAACATGAATTACACTCTTTCAGGCAAAATAGTCATGATCAAAATGATCACCCTCCCAAAATTAACCTACCTATTCCAAACCCTCCCAATCTGGATTCCCCCAACCCAACTCCGCAGATGGCAGAGAAAACTACACTCTTTTATCTTCTCACATAAAAAACCAAGAATAAGCCCCAAATACCTGCACCTCCCCACCTCAGAAAGAAGATGGGGAATCCGCAACATAGAAGCATATTACATTGCCAACCAAAATATGCCATATAATTCCATATATACTAGAAGATGAGACAAAACAATGGGTACACCTAGAGAGGAACACAATTGAAAATACCTGCACCACAGCATACCCACTCCTACCAAACAAACTAAGGAAAATTCCCACAGCACTTAACAGGTACACACAGACCATGCTCAAAGCATGGAAAACAGAAATAGGCAAATTATCCCCAACCCCATCCCCACTAATTCCCCATGCGTACCACCCATTATTCCACCATGCAGCACAAAACCTCCAGATAAAAACCTGGCAAACCAAAGACTTATATCGCCTAATAGACTTCTATAAAAATAACAAACCTTTGTCAACACAAGAAATACAGGACAAACTAGAAGACACCCAAATGCCTTGGTTAGCACAACACCAATTACATGCCCTCTTAAACAATCCAGCAGTAAAATCAGCAGCAACTAGGCCCCTGACAACCTTCGAAAACCTTCTCCTAACAGCAAAGGGACACGGTAAAGGGATGGTATCCGCAATATACAAAATACTACTCCGAAATCCCACGAACCTCTTAGACACAATCAAAAAACAATGGGAGGATGACATAGGCTATGAGATTAGCCCCACTCAATGGACCAGAATGTGGTCTAAACCCCCCTTTAAATCCATATCAATGGGGGGGAAAGAAAAGGACTCATTCTGAAACTCACCTACAGGTGGTACCTAACACCCAGAAAACTATGTAAAATAACTAAGCAAGTATTAGCATTCACCCCAGAATTGACCCTACTAAACATCTTCCAAGACCATAATGCCCATAAAGAACTCATAACCCACCTACTTTCAGCAGCCAGAAACCGTGAGGAGAATCACAACTTACAGGGTTAAATAGTTCTGTGTGACGTCTCACATTCTGAGGCGTGGTTTGGTTCACATACGGGAATCTTTCTTTGTGTGTGAGTTTCCTTTCGTTTTTTGGCTGAGAGACGAAAGAATGTCCACTCTCTCGCCGGGCTGATTTATGATGTTTTTCTTCTCATTAAGGCTGTTAGAGATTAGCAAGAAGCCTGCGTTCAGTCTGATTTATTATCCACACACGAGGCAACACTTTCTACCGCTGCAGAACTCTGCTAAGGAATCTGCTAAGAGGTCAAGTTTTTCCTATCGGCACAAGCGTCCATCGGCACAGGGGAAGTGTGCCGGGTGCCATCTTATCTCAACAGAAACATCATAACCAGACACTGGAGAGACCTGTCAGGAGTAAGCAGGGACCAGTGGTATGGGAAACAGCCTTACTAGAAAAATTAACCAATAAACTGAAACTGACATGGGGACAAATAGAAGAAGACACCTTCACTCCGGTATGGCTCTCCTTTATCACATACGCAGCCCAACAAGACGATGACAAAAATCCACCAACAACATACAAATCAAGATGGCTAACCTGATCCAAAACACCCACCCACCCCACTCACACTTGAAAACAAAGATCACCACAGCCAACCACAAACAAACAACCACACCCTAGGCCAACTCCAACCTCTCTCACCACCAAAGGAACACAAGCGAACAGCAGAGAACCTGCACAAGCAACGCTGACACAAAACCCCACATATATTAAGTAAAATGGAAATATCGCCACCCCACCCCCACTCACCTTTTTCCCCTCCACCTCTTTCCCCCTTTTCTTCCTAATGTCTCAACAAATGAAACTGATCTGTAAAAAATGTTACTTGGGGGAAAAAAGAGAGACATTGCACATACTTTTGTAAACCAAGAAAATATTTAATAAAAATAAAATAAAATTGTGCTATAAATGTGTGAACCCTCCTGGAGATAATTCGTGGACTTGTACAGGAAAAAAGAAACCATCATTTGTAATCAATATCCAATTAATTCCCTAGGCTTAACAATTAAAAACACCTCCTGCACTAGAAATATTGTCTTCAGATAGCCCTACTGAGCCCAGGTTTTCTGTAGGACCGACCACTAGAATTATAGCAACACATGAATAATGCTACATTCGTCTGTCTGTCTCTCTGTCTCTCTGTCTCTCATCTATCTATCTATCTCCCATCAATTTATTAGTGATCTCCCCACCACCACCCCACCGCCATCAGCCATAATCTAACAAATCTATATGTTTTTTCTTACTCATTCTACTCATAACTATTGATGCGGTAGAAATTTCTGTTCAGTTCACATTTAATTAAAACTTTCTGAACAATATGGAAATGAAAAAGAGGCCACCCTTCAAAAATTGTACTTTTAATAGATTTGCAGTTCAGTTCTCCAGCCAAATAAGGTGTGCCTTTTCCCCCAAACCACACCCACCTACCCTATACCTGATGTCATATGTGATGCAGGGAGAGACACTCAATCACAGAGTCGATCCATGCAGAGAGCAGCTTTGCCAGCCCTATGTTTGGTGCTTTGCTGAGCAAAGGGCCAGCAAAACCCCATGCGCTATTGTTCCCAAGTGCCTGGCAGCCAACTGGCTATTGAGTGCTTGGGAAGTGCTGCGCAAGGGACAGCTGGGTGGGACAAACCGCCTGTCAGTCATCTGACATAATGATGCCTGGTGAGTGACAAGTGGGTTGTCCAGCCCACCTGTCAGCACCAGCCTATGGGGGGTGAGGACAGATAGTGATCTAGCCCATCAGGCCAAAAAAGGCTCCTTGATCTGGACAAACTGGAACAGTTTCAGAGGAGTACAATGAAGGTGGTCGGTTGGGGGAAAGTCCCATGAGAGGAAAGCTGGAGGAACCAGGTATGCTTAGCCTGGAAAAGAGAAGAGTGAAGTTCAGGTCAATTCTGCCTGGAAGAGGTGTGTGCCCCATTGGGGTAGTGGTGGTGGAAATACTTGGGGGGGCATAAAAAATGTGGGGGCCAAGGAAGGTCAGTTGGCAGGGAGTAAGAAATGTCCCTGTTTTCATCTGAGGAATGTTGGAAGGTATGTCTATTAAAGGCATGGGGCAGGCACATATTAATAGTCCATGTGGGGTATCCAATGTTGATCGGACTCAAAGCAGATCCATTGAAGCCAATGGACTTTGGTGCATTGAGTTCAAGGGGCCTACTCTGATGTTGTTGGATATTATTGAATAGTACCATGGAATGAGTAAATTCTTAGAATTTGTTTGAAATCTACAGTATTTATTTCTGAGATTGGCCTTCAAATGCACAAATCATATGCAGTCTTTAGCAGGAGAATGATTATAGCCGTAATGGAAATTCTCAGTGTGGATTTGAACGTTATTGATGTCTGAGTGACAAAATACTTACATATAGCATGTGCCTATGGAGTTGCCTGCGTGATCTCTGAATCCAGACTGCAGAACTGAAAACAATCAGAAAGGAGCCCTTTCTTCATGACGTACTGTTTGCTGTGTTAAGTGTTGGCTTATTTATGCGGAGTTTGGAAAATCTGCCATCGAGCAAGGGGCCATCCATCAGCTAAGGAAATGAAAAGGCATTTGGGAATGGGAATTTGAAGGACACAGAAAGAGACACGCACAGAGAGAAATAGACAGGAGCCAGTCTCTTCTAAGTTCTTAGTTTGGGCACCAAGTTAAGACACAAAAGCATTTGCAACAACATTGTGGGAAGAAAGAATAAAAGCGAGGCTGTACAGCCATTAAGGCAATTAAGGAAAGATTAAGGTTGCTTTTTGTTGAAAGACCCATTAATCAATAGGCCAGAATTCACAGCATGTTGCAAAACATAAGTCTACAAAAAAAAGGAGGAAAAAAAGGAAGAGGGAGCGGGGGGGGGGGGCACAGACCAAACCACTGGCCCCAATTCAGAGTTCCTCTTGAGAAGCAGTGGACTGTGTATAAGCTGCTGCATTCAAGGATCAGCTCTGATAATACTGATCACCTCTCTCTCTCTCTCTCTCTCTCTCTCTCTCTCAGCAGGAGTGTGGCAGTAGGGATACCTGACGCCACACATGCACACCCAAAGGAGATAAGAATTTAATGCTACCAATTAGTGCTATGACGAATCTTGCCTTCAGATTTCCAGAAGATTTTTTGTCCCGTGTGAAAGAGGCTGGATTCCTCTTGTCTCTGCCTCTTTCTCAGGAGGCTTGAGAAATTCACAAAATTAGCAGTTTACACTTACCTTACACATGACGTGGCCAAGCGGGTGTGAGTAAGTGAACAGCCTCTTTCATTGTGCAATTATTTCTTGGCACTCTGCAATCTTCCCAGCCCACACTTCCTAAAAACTCCATGATGTCCATGTTCGCTGCGCTTTCCTGTGAGTGCAGGCACTTTGGAAGGCTGAAGGGTGCAGACTGCAAGAGTGCGGATGGGCAGAATGCACTCACAAAAGGTTAGACAAACCAAAATGCTTGTTTACAAAGTTATTGTACTACCAACCTTACTGTATGCTTGTGAAACATGGACCACTTATAAACACCATCTCCAACTCCTCGAAACATTCCATCAACGGTGTCTCCAAAAATTTTTACACGTCACTTGGGAATACAGGTGAACTAATACCAATAATACTAATACGGGAAGAAGCAGAGATCACCAGTGTTGAAGCAATGATTCTTCAACATCAACTTTGTTGGACTGGTCATGTTGTTTGGATGCCTGATTATTGTCTTCCAAAGCAACTACAGTGGTACCTCAGGTTACAGATGCTTCAGGTTACAGACTCCGCTAACCCAGAAATAGTACCTTGGGTTAAGAACTTTGCTTCAGGATGAGAACAGAAATCGCGCAGCAGCGGTGCGGCGGCAGCAGGAGGCCCCATTAGCTAAAGTGGTGCTTCAGGTTAAGAACAGTTTCAGGTTAAGAACAGACCTCCGGAACGAATTAAGTTCTTAACCCGAGATACCACTGTAATCTATTCCGAACTTAAAATGGAAAGCGTAATGCTAGTGGTCAACAAAAGAGGTTTAAAGACAAGGCAATTTTTAAAAAAATATAGTATAAACACCAACAATTGGGAAACACTGGCCTGCGAGCGCTCCAGTTGGAGAACAGCGTTTACCAAAGGTGTCATGGGCTTTGAAGACACTCAAACTCCGGACACAAGGGAGAAATGTGCTAAGAGGAAGGCATGCTTGGCGTGATCAACTCCTGCCCGGAAACCAATGTCCCCACTGTGGCCTCCACAGTCACTTACGGAGTCATTGCAAAAACCATGTTCATGGAAGACAATCTTACTTGGCTATGAGTGATCGCCAAAGAAAGAAAGAAAAGACACTGGTCACCTGAGAAGTAAGGCAAATGCAATAAAAAGCCAACATCCCACTCATTATTCCCTTGGATAATTTTCTAACTAAATTTACTTTCTCATTCATTGAGGATAAATGGTCTGGGAAACATCTTGGCACATCACTAGGACCAAGTTTGTGTTCAGAGGTTCCGTGTGCATTGAAGGCATCATCCTTCTATATGAACTGTTTTTCCCCATGAGGGATTGCAATGTATGAAAGCAGGAACTAAATATATCTTAAGCCAAATGATGTGGAGGCGTCGTAGTGAAAATTCCTGTTGTTTTGCATAAATCAAAGGCCTCTGTAAACAGGCAGGTTTTCAGCACGCACTGAAACTGCACAATCATTGGCACATGTCTTCTTTTTAAACACATGCACTGTAAACCTATACCCGTGTACCTGGGAGTAAGCCCCTTGGAATTCAGAGAGACTTGCTATGCCCAACATGCCTGTCTCTGCCCCTCCCTCTTCATACCTCTTCTGGTCCTGGGAGACTAGGGGGAGGAGAGATGGTCACAGCCAGAGGGGGAGACACCCTGGCTTTGTCACCAACCTGACTCATCTCTGCCTCTTGGCCTCCCTCTTCTCTGGCTTCCGCCTCTGCTTCTGATTTGGGATTTCTCTCCCTGCTCACCACGCCCTGTTACCTCTTCAGCTTCTGACACCTCCTCCTCCTCCCAGGCTTCTCCTTCTGACCACTTGTCATAGTCCCACCACCAGTCCCCTGGCTCTGAGTCTTCTTCCCCAGCTGGTGCCTCTCACTTTTCCTCTGTGTCCAGCCAGTCTACAACAGGAAGGAAGACAGTTTCCAGCTATTCCTCTTCCCTCTGGAGCCTGCCATGTCCACCCAAATCTGCTCCAAGGGGTCCTTCAACCCTCCAGAGCAGATTTGGGGGAGATGAGGTGCTATGGAGGGTGGGGAGTGCTGAAAATTGCCTCGCTTGATACCTTGCGTCAGCACAGTGATGCCACTTGAAGCTCCCTGATATTTCCTTTTTAACTCTGATTTGTGGGAGAATATTTAGTTATTGAATTAATACATCTACTTGAAAAAACCTATTTGACTCTACTCAAGAGCAAGTCCTGCTATGATGATGATTCACAGAAGGGCCATTTCCACAGTAGGCCTTTGACTCTGGAACAAGCTTCCCTCAAAGGCATATCTGTCTCTCACATTATCGAGTTATTTCAGGCACCATCTCAAAACATTTTATCTATCCAGGCTTTTGCAGTTCAATAAATAGAAGATGTACTCCTAATTAGCACTGTTTGTACTCCTTTTTAATACTTTGGTACTAAATTTTTAGTGCCTATGTGTTTTTAGCTCTGTTTTTAAATGTTTGGTGTACATTGCCTCAGTGGCATAGCTATTAACATGAGTTTGACCAAACTGTGGGAGGCAGTTGAAGACAAGAGTGCCTGGCGTGCTCTGGTCCATGGGGTCACGACGAGTTGGACATGACTAAACAACTAAACAACAGCAACAACACACACATACATAATTTTATTTGAATGCTGCCTTTCCACAGTTCAAACCATGCTCAAGGCAGCTTACAACATGGAAAAAACACATAACACAACAAAAGTAGTCATAAACAAGAAACAAAACATTAAAAAATACAAAACCAAACCAAACAATTTCTACATAAATTGCAACAAAATCTAAAATAAAGATGCAAAAAACCAACACACACAAAAAATCCCAAACAACATTCTAGTCCAAAAGTCTGTTCAGCATCCTCAGCTTTTGTAGCTGGAGTCAGTCAGTGCTCCATCCTCCTACCCAAGTGGAAAGATGCCTGCAAGGCAGGGAGCAGGTCTTTCAGGATTCACGGCCAAGGTGGTAATCAAACTACCTTATACTGAGCCCACATCATTGGTCCATCTAGCTAAGTGTTGTTGACTCTGACTAGCAACTACTCTCCACAGTTTGAAGCAGGTGCTTTCCCCATCCTGACCTAGAGATTACATGGTTTGAACATGGGACCATCTGCATGCAAATAAGCCCAAAGCTGATAATAAGCGAGATCTTGGCTCAGGTGGCATTAGAACCATGGCCTTTCCTGTTCACAGCCACTGCATCATCTGGCTGCGTGAAAGTAACTCTCCTATTTGCTCCACACCAATCGCCTGCCCAATCAGAGAACTCTCCTATTGCTTCTGAAATGTGCTCCAGCTAGGGATCTGGTGATCTTCCAGGGGAAGTGAGGTTTCACAGAATGGAAGCTGCTACAAAAACCATTTCTGTTAGGAGCAGCTGTTAGTTTCTGCTGTTAATCCTAGCGCCTCCCGTTTTTCCAGCGGCTACAATCAACCTGTTGCATACCACAGACTGAGGTTTTTGCCTTGTTATTTATTTTGCTTCTTGTTGGGAATGAGGTAGCCCTTTACAACGAACATATTCTTAAGGCTGCAAAAACCGTGGCGTGAGCCCCACTAAAAATCCGGCACAATTTATTTCTGAGGCATAAAGTCGAGCTGCACAAATGATGAGTTGCTAGGGGATCAAAAGCAATCCTGATCTGAACTACCAAAACTCATATTAAGACTCATATTAAGGAGCCAATAAAATAGGATATGTGGCCATCCTGTTCCGAAAGGTCTCTTCCAACCCCAACCCCAGGAAGGACAACAGAGAGAAAGAGAGAGAGGAGATACAGAGGAAGGAAGAGGTAGGAAAAGTCATTGAATCATAGAATTGTATAGTTGGAAGGAACCCCAAAGGTAATCTAATCCAACCCCCAGCAAGGTCTGTTCATTCACAAAAGGGAAATTAGGATTCAAACCTTTGTCTTCTTCCTTTAACTTGTTCTGTTTGCCAGTCTTATGACACGCATGCTGATGGCCATTTATTTCCCAGCAACTTGTCTTCTGGAGCGGCAAGAAAGGAAACCCGTTGCTATGCACAGACATCCCCAAACTCGGCCCTCTAGCTGTTTTGGGACTACAACTCCCATCATCCCTAGCTAACAGGACCAGTGGTCAGGGATGATGGGAATTGTAGTCCCAAAAACAGCTGGAGGGCCGAATTTGGGGATGCCTGGCTATGCACTTCCCATCTTCAGCTGGGCATTCCAATAGGAAGGGAGGCCCGTTGTTAATTCAGATTGCTGCTCTTCCTTTGAGCAACTAATTGAAATAAGTTTCAACAACCAGCTACTCAGGCATATATACCCAGTCATACCCATTGCAAAAGAAGAAGAAGAAGGGGGGAAAAGCCATCATGGCTATCAGTGAGATGGTATAATTGAGAATCACTGGCTTTGCAAGATGCCTTCAGGCTCCTATTTTGGGGTGGAAATGGGGAAGACGGGGTCTTAATATGCTAATTAAGAAAGGGAACAGAGTGGGAGGGCAAGCCGCACATGTTAAAACCAGCACCTGAAATAATTGGAAATTGGCTTAAAGTGGAGGCGTGTAACCTGATTGATTTGCCAGCTCCAGGGCACGTTGCTTCATCTTTGGAGTCAGGGTCATCATGCAATCCCTAATGTAACAGATGTAGTTTGAGAGGGAGCCGTCACTGGCGGGATGGAGCTGACAGCTCAAGTGTTTGCAGAGATGACTGCAACACAGCCAAGGGAATAATTATTTGGGAATGCCTTCGGGTTTGTGATTTTTACACAAGGCAGAAAACATTCTGCCCCCTACCCCAAGATGCCTGGAGTGTGTTGGAAGGATTGTTGTTTCTTAATCACCTGAAAGCAATTGTTTTTGATGTTTCAAGATGGAAGATGGGTCAAAAACAGAGGGAGGTCTTGTACCGAGGCTAAAATAAGCTAGGAATATGCCAGCCTTCCACTCATAATGCCAACAACCTCTTGTGTCACAAGTTCCATGGAGGCAGTTAGTTGTTTTTGTTATTTTTACCCATGGTGTTTTAAGTTGCAAATAAAGGGGCTAATAATTTAAAAAATAAATGTATCTAGCTGTTGTTTTAAATCAGGGGTGTGGAAGCTGTGGGTCCCCAGATGTGGCTGGGATCAAACTCCCATCAGCCAGCATGGTCCATAGCCAAGCATGATGGGATTTGTAGCCTAACATCTGAGGAGTCAGGTGCTTCCCATCCTTGTTTTTCAAAAGCACAACATTTGTCCCTTCATCCTGTTAACTCTAGTCTTTCACCCATACTTTTTTCTAACAGTGGTTTGAAACCACAATAGTTTCCCTAACAATATCCTAAAGCACCCCAGAAACATGGGCATCTAATCTTTTTCTGAAAAGCTGCAAGGCTGGCTTTCTTAGGAACCTTGTCTGTGGGAAGGGGAAAATGATGGAATTGGAATGAAAATCTAAACAACAGAGGAGGATGGCTAGGTTGCCTGGTGGTGGTGGTGGGAGGAAGCAGAGATAAATAATGTAATTTATTTTTAAGCAGTGGTTGTATCTGGACAGAGGTTCCTGGACCGCAAAGGGGATGGAAACCATCTTGTCTACTCACCATGGTAAAGATGTGTATTCTTGAAGGCCATTCTAATTATCTGTTTGGTAAATTTATAGGCTCCCACTGTTCAGTATAAAGACATACCCTCCAACATTTCTCCAATGAAAATATGGACACCCTATTCAACAACAACAACAATTTTATTATTTATACCCCACCCATCTGACTGGTTGCCCCAGCCACTCTAGGTCGCTTCCAACATATATAAAAGCATAATAAAACATTTTTTAGAAAACCTCCCCTATTCAGGGCTGCCTTCTGTTGTCTTCTAAAGGTTGTATAGTTACTTTTTTCCTTGGCTGGGGGATCGGATAACTCCATGCTCTCCAACATTTCTCCAATGAAAATAGGAAAAGTGGGACATTCTGGGATCAAATCAGAAACCAGGATGGCTTCTGTAAATCTGGGACTGTCCTTGGAAAATAGGGACACTTGGAGGGTCTGAAAAGATGGCAAGAATAAGGGTAAAAAGAGATACCATCAAATTCATCCTTAAAATAATGAAGGGCAGCTGCTCATAAGAAGTTGTCAAAATCCAACAGAGCCATAAAACAGCGAACTCAGATCTCTAGCCTCATTCCAGGCAAGCAAGAGGCATAGGAGCTGACTCTTAGGAGCTGACTCTTCAAGGACACATCCCAGCCAAGCAAAAATACAGAGGATGTGAAGCAGGGCCAATAGACTAGGGAGGGGTGTGTGGCCTGTGGAGAGTTAGGAGAGTCGATTGAGACACACTTGGAGTATCCTGGCCCAAAGGTTCCCCAGTACTTGTGCAGGCTGTTTTGGGAAGGCATCAGAAGCACCATAAGTGAGATCAAGAGGCACAAACTGCAAATGAATCCAATCATGATGCCGTTAGGCCACATTAGCTAGTAGATAAATAATAAAGAAAGAGCAAAGGGCTTTGGTATCACATGTGTTGATAACAGCTCTGATAATGGTAGCAAAAAGCTGGAGAAGCAGTAATCTTCCAAAAATCGATCAGGAAGGTGAGGAAACTGTGGGATGGGATGGCAATCACTACTTAGAAATTGCTTTGGGAGGGAAGAATGCAAACACTCCAGATTTTCCAACAAAACTGGTGGTCTTTTATTCTGTACCAAAAAAGAGAGAAGAAATTATAACTATGGGTGTTCTTATAATATGATATAGTGTGACAATACATGATGCATTTGATCTAAGATTTAAGTAATATCTCGTAATTATGTAGTTAGGAAACTCATGTAAATATATCCGCATGCCATAAGATCCTGCAAGATGGCCTTGTTCCCTGCCAGCAGTGGTTTTTAAAATACTTGTGATTGCAAGTATAACAGAAAGGGGGGGGGGAAAGAAACAGTGTCAGCTCACATTAACAATATGAATAATCCAGCAGTCCTAATTTAAACATTAATATAAGCAGTCCAATAGATAGGCAGGTGAGCTATATATTCAAATACAGAAAGGGGCAGTGAGATCTTCAGACCAGGTGATTGTTCATCCTTGCAACTTTGGAAGTACAAGTCTCTTTGCAACCATTCTGGCTTGCAGGATCCACTTTTGCTGTCCACCCGTTAGTCCCCACACCCAAGGTATATAATTTCAAAGTACACAAACATCTGCACACTTTCTCCCTGTGCTACGGTATCGGTCAACCTCCTTCCTCCAAGCTACTGTGTCCCCTGAGAAGGAAACTGCCACTGGCATCAGGGGAAGAACGATATCTCTGTGCTAGTGCACATACTTCACTGCAGATGGTGACAGCAGTCATGAAATTAAAAGATGCCTGCTCCTTGGGAGAAAGGCAGTGGCAAACCTAGACAGCATCTTAAAAAGCAGAGACATCACCTTGCCAACAAAGGTCCGTATAGTTAAAGCCATGGTTTTCCCAGTAGTGATGTATGGAAGTGAGAGCTGGACCATAAAGAAGGCTGATCGCTGAAGAATTGATGCTTTTGAATTATGGTGCTGGAGGAGACTCTTGAGAGTCCCATGGACTGCAAGAAGATCAAACCTCTCCATTCTTAAGGAAATCAGCCCTGAGTGCTCACTGGAAGGACAGATCGTGAAGCTGAGGCTCCAATACTTTGGCCACCTCATGAGAAGAGAAGACTCCCTGGAAAAGACCCTGCTGTTGGGAAAGATTGAGGGCGCAAGGAGAAGGGGACGATGGAGGACGAGATGGTTGGATAGTGTTCTCGAAGCTACAAACATGAGTCTGACCAAACTGCGGGAGGCAGTGGAAGACAAGAGTGCCTGGCGTGCTCTAGTCCGTGGGGTCATGAAGAGTCGGACACGACTAAACAACAACAATAAGTGCACATACTATGTGCAAAAAAAGCTGCCAGGTTCAATTCCATATAGGGCAGGAGAAGACTCCTTTCTGAAATCCTGGAGAGCTGCTGCAAGTCAGCGAAGGTCTGGCCAGTGGTTGAGTCAGCTCCACATATTCCTAGCTTCTCTTCTGGGGAGAAAGGCTGGGAAAATTGGTATGTGGTGGCTATTCATCACGCTGGAAGAACAAGGTTAAATCTCCTTTCATTCACTCACCATGATTCTGCACCTGATAAACTCTATAACTGTTTTGGTGTGTGTTTTTTAAAGTAGAAAATAGACACATTAAATGCACAGGCACATTTAACCATCTATTTTGATGGGAGGCAGTTGAGCTTCTTCCATCCCAAGGCAGTGTTGCTCCAAAGGGGCTCTTGTGTTCTTAAGACAGGAGACTGAGAGCCCTGTCGGATAAAACCAAATGCTCATCTAGCTCAGGATCCTGTTTCCCACAGTGGCCAATCAGATGTCTCTGGGGAGAACTAAAGACTGAAAAGAAATGAGAAACCAACAGATTCACTCATTCCTTAGAGCTAGCTGATACACCAGTTTGCTGCTATGCTACAACTCTTGTGTGTCTTAAGTTCACAGTGCCGTTCTCACACTTCCCCTTCCCCTTTATTATTTCATCTGTATGCAACCTCTGGTGATAACCCCCTATTTCTCCAAACCCCTGGTTTTTCAGATTTTCTCAGTTCATCTTATCCTCACAAAGTTCATCTCTTCGTAATCACAGGGACTAGCTCCAAGAGACCACCTGCATTGTTTGGGATTCTATGTGCTGAAGTGCTCCATGTCAATATTTCCGTCGAATGCCTGCTGAACGCTGAAACATATATGTTATGGACTCTCGGAAAGTGGCAACCGGTGGCCTCCCATAAGCCAGCAAGCTCCATAGAATGTCAACCCTGTACAAGGATTCAACATGAGATGAAATGTTGCATTGTAACCGACAGAGAACGATATTCAGTGTATTGCTAAGGTTACATCAGTACAAGAATTCTCTTTGTGCAACTGAACCCTCTCCTCCCCCAGCACAATGACCACATCTGTTCTAGGTTTTCCTCCAACCTTCTGGAGCAGATTTGGAGACCCCGTGGGGTGCACGGGGGCGGGGACAAGAGGGGTGACCGCCCCATTGTGGTAGTGACAATCCTTGCACTTGCACAATTATTTAGTTGAATGCTGTCCTGAGTCATAATCAGAGCAGAGCCACTGGCATCCATGGACTTGAATTAGTTGTGTGACTCATTGTATTTTTAATTACAGACTCACTCTCTTGTCTGATTTCAGTTTTGTGCCCTCTTTGCAGCTTTTGCTTTAAGTGGGAAACAGATCAATATAATCTCCAATATTGTGGCTGATTCACATTACTAAAAATGTAGAGATATTGTAAGCAGGGTGTTACGGGAGGTCATGTAAATCTGTCACTGTACAATAAGATGTGCACCAGGTGTACATAATACCTCCATCTTTTGAGTTGGAAGAATCATGGGAATAGATTACAGAGGTCCGTGATACATATGTTATGCCACTGATATGATGTGATGCATATAAATTTTAACATTATTAGCAAGGAAAGCAGAGTTTCAGACAAAGATTTCCCTTGTTCCTGCTAAGTTCCCCCTCTTCTTGACTAACCCAATACGCCTTCCTGTCTTCCACAAAGAGCCCCTTCTGTCTCTAAGCCTTCTTTAAGGTTTTCATATACCAATTGTCCTTTTATTTCCCCTGCAGAATTTGTTTGTCGGTGTGCTTTCTCTGTCACCTTTAGTTAACACTTCCACGAAAATCCCATGCCATTACAATGCATTGGCTTACGACTTGTGGGAGATGTGGCTCATAGATGGCAACATGTGGCAGGCAAGTGACAACCAGGTTATTGCTGTTGCAGTTAAAACTATGCATCTTGCCTCATCAATAAAACCACATGCCTTTCCAAGCTCCTCTGGCTTTTCTCTAAGAACGCTAGAATATGGAACCGGTGTCACCATGACAGTAAATAGAAACTGGATCAGGTCTTTAAGAGCAGAGAGAGTGCAGCTATTAGCATCGGAGACAGAATTACTGTTATCATTCTGCATTAATCTGACTCTTTCCTATGCACTGCCCTCTCATTGTCTTCAGACATTTGGAAAGTGTTCCCTTAGCAAACAATCAAACCCACCAAGTCCCCTGTCAATAAATTTTATTTGAGAAATATAGCGGTTGCAATATTGATGGATCTCGCTTTCCCCTCCTTGCTTGTCCTGGCTTTCCTCCGCCCAAGAGCTGTATTTAGGGAAGAGCAGGTGCCCGTTCTCCTCCGGCAAAGGAAACACAGGCGAACGTTGAAGAGCACCCATATTTAAATACTGTATAGCGTGTCTATTTGCATATCTTAGCACATTTTCTCTGCATGGAGTACATTTCAAAATAACCAGGGTTGCGGGGTGTTTGGGTCGGTGGCTACTGGATCTGTTGATAACTTGAAATATGTAAATACATCTCCTCTCCCCTCTCCTTCCCTCTCCCCCCCCGCCCCCCGCCTTGCTTTCTTCTTTTCTACAACCAGTGCTTTAGATTGCATTAGCTGTAAACAAAGATGTATTTGCAGGGGCAGTCGGTTTGAGTTTATTGTTTATGTAAATCTCTCTGAATGTGACATAGCCAGATAGCTTCCTATGTTGTGCTGATCCACGTTTTAGGCCTGCAGCCAAAAGTATTTTATCTTTTTACTTCATTATAGTGATCTTCCAATTAGCTGTGGTCTGTAATACCCTGATTTTGGTGGCAGTGGTTTGGGGAGGATTGTTTGATAGTTCTGCTCGAGAGGCAAAATGAGTCGCCTTATTATAGAAAGTGCAGAGGTTGTGCAGTAGCCGAGTTCTGTTGCAAAGTTTGCCGATAAGGGGAAAACTGGCCCTTGAGCATCTATTCTCTTCTGTATATTAACACTTCTAATCTGCGCTGCTGATAAAACTGGAAGCCATTTGCCTTTGCAGGAATTAGTTCTGCCTCACTTGTGTAACCAGGCGATGGTGATTAACCTTTAAACTGTCCAATATTCTCAGCAGACTCCTGCTCCAGATTAGAAACTATTTAGTTACGACCAACTAAATTAACAACATTCCCGCCTCTGAAGAATAAGGTTTGGAAGGTATGCATTTTAAGGTGGAATTGTATTTGAAAACAGGGGAGAGATGTGCTTGTTTGCTTCTCACGAGATGCACACATTTGGCGGCGATGGGGCTGACTAAGAAAATAGGTTATGCATTTCGGAGAAAAGAAGCAAGAGGCCTAAATAGAAGAAGCCCATGTCCTCTAGATGCAATTAGTTAGTAGCCATTGATGAACATGTAGATTTGATCCAAACCTACCTATACATGTTTGATTATAGGTAGGTGATACATTTTGGAGAATGTGTATATTTGGTTATGTGCAGATGGTTGATTTAAAAAAACACACAGAGAGAGAGAGAGAGAGAGAGAGAGAGAGAGAGAGTGCGCGCAATTATTAAGGGATATTTCACTCCCAGCCATACTAGTCACATAAAAGGAAGTTCCATCAATTTGAATTAAATTTACTTCTGTGCGAATCTGCTTAAAATCAATGCAGAAGTTTACAATGGACACCACCAACTCTAATCAACAGGTGAATTAATCAGCTTTATTTTTTTTAAAAAAAGGCTGTAATCCTGCATCCACTTATGTGGAAGTAAGCTCCATTGAACTAAGTGGAACATACTTTTGAGCAGACACGCATAGGGTTGAGCTGTTCCATGATGAATCCAATGGGGATTTTTTAAATCATGAGGTTCAAGGCTGAAGGCTCAGGAACTATATTTTTTAATAATAATAATAATAATAATAATAATGACTTTGGTGTATTATAGGAACAAGGAGGAAATTTTAAATATGACCTTCTCTTTAAACAATAAATGTAGCTTTTGTTTATTAAATGTTAGGTGATTTCTCGGGTTAATTTTTTTAAGCCTAATCAATTGATCAATTAAATGCTTTAAAAACTGGGCAATTAATAATTTTCTGATCTTGGACTGGCAGATAGCACGCAGGCACACACACACAGGCTGTGATCTGAAACACAATGGTTTGGAACCAAACTCAGTAGAGATCAATGAGACTTAATTCCAAGTAAAAGTATATTGAGGATAGAGTGCCAGCTGTCTCAGATTTGAGATGGCTTGGGAGATCTCTGCCACATAATATGACAAAGAATGTATGATAAGGAGAAGGTGAGCAATATCGGAAAGGAGGGGAAGATAATTTTCTTTTAGGCAAAAAGGGCTCTCCCAGTTTTCTCTCTCTCGGGGTTAAGCTGAACAGTGAAATAGATGTTATAAATATCCACAGCAGCCCCTCATGCCCAATAGGCTTCAGTTGGTGAGGTAACTTTGCACTGAGCTATTGCATCTAGAATTTTTTTTAATATAATGTAAAACTTATCAGTTGAAATGTAACCTCCAACTCACATGGCATAAAGACAAAAACGAGGGCATTTATGTAATAAATGGTGTAGTGCTTGTCCGACATGCATGAAATGACTGTATTGTTCTCCCTTGCTGGAGAACAAAATCAAAATCCCCGTTAGCAATGTTTTTCTGTTTTACCAGTTTTTACATTGGCTGCCTCCTTAAAAATTGCTAATCTAGATACTACATTAGTAGGGGTGTCAGTCAAACTGCAATCCACAGTGAAGCCTTCTTCACATACCAATTTAAATCATTCATGGTCCTTTCTTTGGCATTATTCAAAAGATCATAATAATTTTCTTGTGCCCACAGCACAAAAAAAATCAATTATTTCCCCACAAAGACTTGAAAGTACTTAGCGAGTGCTGCAAGAAAAGCTGAGGGTTATATCAAATTGAAATTGCACTCATTACACACAACACAATTAGTTGCCACTAGTCTGGCCGGTCCTTTAATTCTGAATGGCATATCTTTATTATTACAGAAACAAGCATGCAAATGGCATTGTTCAGGATTTGCCGAAATCAATAGGATATAGTGCTGTGTGTTTGGTGGCCACTGTCACTCAATCGGCTGTGGATTTGAGATAATGTGTGTATTTGAATTAATGAAGGGAATGTGAGACATCATAAGTGACACCCAAATAAAAGAAATGGGTACATGATATTTGTAATTATTCTACTTGTGTTTTTGTTGTAAATACTTGTGCTTTTTGTTTTTTAATCAAAGGATTAATTGCATTTTAATAAGGCATTATGATTTTCAGAGCTTTAGTTAATTAAAACTTGTAGTATATAATTATGAAGTGATGCTGAGATTTTTCTAAAGATCACCCATATGTTTTGAATGTGTACATTTTCCCTCTTCTTGTTATGCGGTTGCTACATGATTCCCTCCCCTCCCTTTGTCTTTTTAATGAATTATATTTAAATGTTTGAGAGATGACGGGTTCGAATTTCGGACAGATTTTTTTATATTTTTTTGTAAGTGGCAGCTACAGTACAAAATGTTCATGATCTTAGGGTTGAGTCATAGACTATGTTTCCTTTGGGCTTTTTGAGGATGCAGGACTCATTCCCTGCATCTGCATTGCACAATTAAGGGGGGGGGAAATATTGTGATGTGGGAAACACAATGCTAATTGCTGACCTGTGAAATGCCCAGACCCGGAAGCCATTTGGAGAATTTTTACCTGCATAGCACTGAAATCATGGAAAGGGTGAATTTAGGGACAAAGCAAAAAAAAAGTGACACCCCCCCACACACCGGAGGTGAACATGCAGCTATTGCCCTGATCCAGTTTGCTGAAATTGTAGCGCTCCCTTGGTCATATGCTGCTTCCTTACTCACAAGGAATGCTCATTTTGGACTCACAGGTGTCCATGGAGGCGCAGGTTAATTCTGTCTCCAGGGCAGCTGTCTACCAGCTCCACCTGGTACGCAGGCTGAGACCCTATCTGCCCATGGACTGTCTCACCAGAGTGGTGCATGCTCTAGTTATCTCTCGCTTGGACTACTGCAACGCGCTCTACGTGGGGATACCTTTGAAGGTGACTCGGAAACTACAACTAATCCAGAATGCGGCAGCTAGACTGGTGACTGGGGGTGGCCGCCGAGACCACATAACACCGGTCTTGAAAGGCCTACATTGGCTCCCAGTACGTTTCCGAGCACAATTCAAAATGTTGGTGCTGACCTTTAAAGCCCTAAATGGCCTCGGCCCAGTATACCTGAAGAAGCGTCTCCACCCCCATCGTTCTGCCCAGACACTGAGGTCCAGCGCCGAGGGCCTTCTGGTGGTTCCCTCATTGCGAGAAGCAAAGCTACAGGGAACCAGGCAGAGGACCTTCTCGATAGTGGCGCCCACCCTGTGGAACGCTCTTCCACCAGATGTCAAAAAGATAAACAACTACCTGACATTTAGAAGACATCTGAAGGCAGTCCTGTTCAGGAAAGTTTTTAATGTGTGACATTTTAATGTATGTTTAATCTTTGTTGGAAGCCGCCCAGAGTGGCTGGGGAAACCCAGCCAGATGGGCAGGGTACAAATAATAAATTATTATTATTATTATTATTATTATTATTATTATACCTTTGTATGATGGTAAGCAGCAATTGTAACCCAGCGTGACCATGGTCTTAGCCTGGGACAACCTTCTGGCCCTGCAGGACCACTGGGAGCCAATACTCCATCCTCCTCTGGCTATGTAGGTTGCTGGTAGGCTTGTATTCAAGGGGACCTATCACAGGCAAGCTGTGTACCAGAAGCAAGCAGGGGGGTGGGCCTGGCTTTGTGGAGAACCTCAGCTCCTGGTCTTCACTCAGGTCCACTCACTGGACATATAAAGACTCGTTAACTCGGTCAAAGCTGGATTCCCCATCCTCCTGCCCTGTGTAGAGGTGGGGAGCAGGCAGGTTCTGAATATGCCCTTGCTATGGAAATATTTGGTCGCTGTATTCGGGGCCAGGGAGGAATTTGCCTGCAGATGAATTAGGCCTGTATGGAGGGTATTGCCAACCTCACAGCAATTGTCACAACTTGTTGGCGGATAAGGCATTGGATTGGATCCTTAGTCTAGGTGACGGAGGGGTTTGGGAAGCCACCTACCCTTGCCTTGAGGAATCAGGGGTGCCATGTTACAGAGGTCCGGGGGGAGGTGCTTCTATCCGGATGCCCATTTGGGAGCTGGTGGCCATAGCACTCCCCCAAAAAGTGGCAGCCCTGAAGGGATCGCCTCTATTTGATGTACATCACAGGGAATTCCTTAACCCAGGATTGACCCTGCAAAATAGTCTGCCAGCCAGCAGTCAAGTTGGTTGATTCAGGATAAATATCTATGCCAAAAGCTACTTGCATCTGTAATCAGTAAAGTTGTGGCCTGTTCGAACCCAGGATGTTTACGATCTCCATTTATGCAGAGTTCTTTCCCTCGCAAGATTTAATGTTTTGCTGTCTGCAGTTTTGCAAGGTACATTCTCAAAAATCCCATATTCTGAAAGGGGCTGCCCTTGTGGCACAAAACAGGTCGAATCCATCACACACGTATTTCATTGCCCACTTGATGAAAAAATATATATGTATTTGACCCCCTTATGGAAGGAGGGGATCTATCGCACTGACTCTTCCAGTGTGTCCTATCTGCTGAATAATTGTAGGAAGGACATTGTGGAGAATGTGGCGAGATTTTTGAGTGATGCCATGAAATTACATCACTATAAGTCCTAAGAGCCACTTTTGTATCTCACAATGTCTGTACAGTTTTATCCTAAAGTACCTCCTACTATGTTTTGTTACCCATGTTGTGTTCTGATCCATGTATATGATGTACTCTTACTATGCCAATAAAGGAAATTGATTGATTGATTGATGTTTGTCCTGTGTGTTTATAGTATCTTATCACGATATGGGCCCAGCCACCCGCAGGTTCTGTGCAGGGAGAACACACATCTGTGCATACATTTCTTTGCACTTTTACTGTTGTTTTACCGTCTGGGCAGCTTCCAACAAATTATGAAACCACATGCAGAAGTTCCCCAGGTGGGGCAGAAAAAAATTATCTGGAGACCTGCTGCCAGTCAGCGTAGGCAATACTGGATTAGATGGACCAATGGCCTTACTCAATATAAGGCATCTTGCCATGTTTATGGTCAAAGTAGCAATCCACCCAGTACTTCTTAAATGTATTTATAACATTCATACCATACTTTTCCATTATTTGGTGTCCATGATGGCTTATGTAAAGCTCCCAGTCTGATTTGAGGGCTCTTCTACAAGATCAGAACTTGAAATGGTGAGATCATTCAAGATTTTCTACAACTCAGCAAGTTGTAGAAGGAGCAAGAAACCTGTTCTTATTCTTCTGTTTGAAAGAACATCCCTTAGTTCATGAAGCCTTCAGTAATATATATCAAGGTAAGTTGTATCCAGGCTTCACTTTCTGTGTATGGAAAGACTCCTTCCATTGAAGGCAGCCTTTATACCCAGAGAAACTTCCTGTTGTGGAGGGAGGCAACTTTGCTGATTGCCTCCTCCCATTGCAGCTTCCTTCACTGGTATTCCGGTAGATCCCTCAACACCTACTATAGTGTTCTGGAGGGTCCCTCAACACTATGGAGGAGTGTGGAAGAGGTATCAGGATCACTAACTGAAGGAGAGAGCGAAGAGTGGAGTCGTAGGGGTAAGAACTAGAGCTGCACCAAGTATGCGCTCCAAACACTTTTTGAGGGGGGTAAGGTTTGCTCTTGTGGGTGTTGAAAACCCTCCTAGCCTTTTAACGTTTCCCCAAGCTTGTCCCCAGTTGTGTTGCTCCTTCAGTGATATTTCCTCCCTTATTATTAGGCCAACTTTCTCAACCACTGCATGATCCCAGCCAGTCAGGGTTCACTGTGATGATGTCAGAGAGGCAGGGTGCCAATCAGATTTCCAGCATTGCCTTGTGACAGTTCCATTGCCTGTTTTCACAGGGCAGTGCAACACAAAGGATAATTTATTGATGTGGGGAATAAATTTCCCATTTTTCTGCACTGTGGTGTGAGGGTAAGCAATGAAAAAGCATGGCAAGAATGGGAGTGTTGATCTAGTTCTTCCAACAGCATGTTGTAGGGCAATATTATCTGTTTTGCTGTGACATGAAGAAGAAGGAGATGAAGAAGAAGATGATGATGATGATGAAGAAGAAGAAGAAGAGGAGGAGGAGGAGGAGGAGTTTGGGTTTGATATCCCGCTTTATCACTACCCGAAGGAGTCTCAGAGCGGCTAACAATCTCCTTTCCCTTCCTCCCCCACAACAAACACTCTGTGCGGTGAGTGAGGCTGAGATACTTCAAAGAAGTGTGACTAGCCCAAGGTCACCCAGCAGCTGCATGTGGAGGAGCAGGGAAGCGAACCCGGTTCACCAGATTACAAGTCTACTGCTCTTAACCACTACATCACACTGGCTCTCAATGACAGTTTCATTGCCCACCTCAGCTCAATGTGATACAAGACAGGGAGTATCAGCAATGGCAATGTGTCTGCTGTGAACATTCATGTTCTTTTGAACCCCCCCCCCCAAAAAAGGACCTCCAATTTTCCAAGGCAACAGAAACTTTCCTTAAAACCTGTCCTCTCTTTCAATTCTCTTGAAGCAGAAACACACTTGCCATCTATCTGTTGGTGAGTGGTGCTGGCAGAGTAAGGCAAGGAGGGCGTTTTGGTGGTATCCTGGCCTGTCTAGTGATAGTTTGGGATGTGTTAAGTTAGCAGCTGTTTTAATAAACAAGCTTGGTATACTGGTAGTGTTGCAGGTGGGTAATTTTAAACTCTGGTCTTACAGGGATCACCTCTGAAGTAATCTGTATTAACTTCCAAATGTGGTTGGCTAGCCCTGCTGTAGTTGTGGCCCATCTTCATATTCCGCTGGCCCTGAAGTCACTGGTGGAGGAACATTCAAGGTTTCCTTCTATATTCTTCCCTCTGCTCTGGCTAATTATCAATCGAATCCACATTACGGGTGCCTCTGCCAGTGGCTGGCTATCAAGTTCAGGGTCTTCTTAGTAGTGGCACATTGTCTGCAGAAGATTTTTTGAAGGGAGCATCATCTGGTTATCTTTCTTCAGCTTTTTTGGAAAAGGACAAAGAGATCCCTCTCTAGAGACCAACACTACTCTGCTGAGGCCCAATGATAAAACTGAAGTAGAGCTGTGTTGTGTTCCAGCTGTGTCTTTTTAATCAATTGTGTTTCTTGTCTTGGGCTGCATTCAGACAGCACTTTATTCCATTTTCCTAACATTTCCTTACCTGATAATTTTCTTTTTCTAATGTGATCTTTCATATGATGTAAAAGCTACTTCTGGAAATCTAGTGGAATCTAGTGGAAGTCTGATGCCCATACCCATGTTAATTGCATCTAGAAGAAACACACACATGTAAGATGGAAAACTGCAGGATGAAATTTGGGGTGATCTCCTGGCATGCACTTTGTTCTCACCATGGGGGAACAGAAGCAGCACCAGTGTTCATAAAGGGTGATGACATGTCCAATGGCATCTGCTATTGCGCCACACCACGTCCATGGGACTGAATTAAATGTAGCACAACATATTTCAATTTTTTTAACACCAACAGCTCCATTATACAACAGGTTAAAAGGAACCGTATGAAGGAAGAAATGTTAGAAACCTAGGGATAGAAATACTGGCATTCTAACGAGGAAAACTAATGAAATATTCCCCAAGTCTGAATGCACCCTTGCACATGATCATATCTTGGGTTTTAGGTAAACAATAGATTGAAGATGCTGTGAAATGCTTTGAGGGGGCATCAAACTGTTGCTTAGGTGTCAGGTGAACTTGGCAGAAAGTCTCTCCCCCCCCTTTTTTTTTGCACACATCTTCTGAGATTAAAATCCGCTCCTCTGCAGCCATTCCCCTTTCCCCTGATGCTCTTAGGTATACTCTAAATGTGCAGCTGCACAAACACAGCATTTGCCATATTTGTACCACCTGCGGTTCAGCATCTCCCAGATTTGGTTTATTTGCAGTTTTCCCCCTGCTGTCTTTTGATACGGCTCTCCTCGGACGCTTTGAGGCAAGGCGGGTTGAAGCTAGGAAAGAAACCCAAGGCAGATAGATTCTCTCCCCTACCCACCCACTCCAAAAAAAAAAACCCCACTGCCAGAGTTCAGCACTTATTTAGGTGTATCTAAAAATGTACTTTAAGTAGGATTTGCTCATGTTTTCCCTCCCTTCTGCAAGCTGATTTAAAATCTAATATTATTAAGTTGGCCGCAGCCTTCATATTTTAACTGTCAAGCCCAGAGCCTGAGAGGTGATGCATTCAAAGCTTGCTAAAATATTTGCTCAGCAGCACAATTGTGTGTGATGGAAAATAAACTCCTCCAGAGCATCTCCTCCTATCAGGCATGGCCTGCAGCCAGCGAAGAATGAGGGAAGGTCAGTCAATTATGTGTGGTAATCACCGTAAGCATATTATCTGAGACACAGATGTCTTCCCTGACCCCACACGACATAGCTATTAACCCCACAGCAATATAAAAATGGGGCTGGGGGGGGGAGGTGCTGGTCCCTTAGGTAAACTAGACCTTTTCAGTTTGGACATGTCCAGTAGATCGGGGGAGGGAAAAGTTGCAAGACAAGGGAGATGGTTTTTTCAGGGACCTGTCCAACAACCTGACCTTTTTGTCGCTGCCGTCAGTGAGGTGGCGTGCCTCCTCTTTAGGGACCTCGCTATAGGCCTAGTCATGTGAGATAAATAGCTGCATCATCTGAAAATGAGACGAACAAATTGACTTGTAAGATATCGCAGCCGCATCGTAGCTTCGGAATGCCACTTCCCGATTTGTTGGGTGGCGGGGGAGGGGGAGAGACCAAACAGCCATTTGTGTGATCCACTCCTGCGTACGTTTTTTAAATATGGCCCCTCTCCTAATATCGACAAAGTATAATGGCAATATCACACAACTCGCCTAACGCCGTAATGCAAGAAATGGGAATTTCTCATTACGTGGCATATTTGCAGCTATCGCTTTCCTGCACAATTGCTTTCAGGTTGGGATTTGTTGGCAGAATTACAAACTTGTTAGCTAGGGTAGAAAGAATACAGGTTGTTGTTGTTTCTAAATAACCCTCATATAGCTGCAAAATATAATATATACATACAGTATATGAATGCGTATATAACATAAACCTAGCTTGAGTTTATATGTAGGAAGCTTGCCTGCACTGTTAGATGAGTTATACATACTCAACTATTATATGAGTCTGCACTGGTGTGTGTGTGTGTAGGTTGTCTCATGTTGGCATGGGTAACTCACAGGAGAACAGAAAGACCAAGGGAGGAATTCAGTGTCACACCAAGGCGATCATTCCATCTGGACATGCGTTTTGGCTTACCAGACAGAACAATCTCCCCTCTCCTCTCCCCCACATGCTGTTCTGGGGGTTCTCCTAACCCCACCTTCTAGAGCCAACTTCAGGGGCACATGAGGTGATCAGTCACTATCTTTTACCATATTCCCTAATGAACATATCCTAAAAGAAAACAATAGTAATAGTAATAAGGATTGTGGGAAGGTGCCTCATACCATGGGAGCCCATTGGTCCATTCATCTTTGTGTTGTCTACACTGACTGCTTTTAATGTGTTTTAAATGTATGATGTGGAATGTGACCAGATTTAGGCTGCCTAATGTCACCCGTGGAACATCATGCTATGTACAGGAATTTTAATCCTGCTCTCCATTCTCGATGTCCAACACTCTGCCAATACTCCAACCACTTTGTTACACTCTAACTCCCTCTTCCTTTCTATTCACCCATCCACCATGTTTTTCAGTTTCTCTCTCTCTCATTGGCTACTGTAAGAACAGAATACTGGACTAGATTAGCTTTTCCTCTGATCCATCAGGACTGTTCTTATATTACTGTGCTCCCCTCATTTCCAGCAGCAAAATACATTCAGCGTAGCCTCTTGTCTAGAAGACCAGAAACCCTCACAGAGATACACAGTTGTCTGTTGCAGAGTCCTCCTGGTATTCTCGCCCCTCTGGGCAAACATCATGAAAGAGAGAGACTACCTTCAGGTGATCAATAGCTATTGGAACAAACCTCAGTGACCATATGGCTCCACTACGTATTCATGTTTGCAACCTTAGGCCCATACTACTGGTGTTTTTGGTTGAACGGTCACAGGGTGCAAAGTTGCAGAGTGGACACAACTGTTTGCTGCACAATCGGGGAAAGGTTTAGTTAAAGATTTGCATGGTCCAAAACAGCAATCTCTGATTATCCTGATGCTCCCTTGTGATTGAAGGGACCAATATATTTTTAAAAAACCAAACCCAATGTAAGTGTGGTCTCCATCTGTTTTATGTAACTATCTTATATATGTCTTTATTATCTTGTAAATCACTTCAGGGTGCCTAGTGGGAAGCAATTCATAAATGAAATTCTTCATCATCAACATCCCTAAGTTTAGAGATGTTTTCCAAATCAGTTCTGCTGATAAAAGTGTGTATCTCATGTGATCACTGTAAACTATCATATACAGTGGTATCGGGGGTTACAGATGCTTCAGGTTACAGTCACTTTAGGTTACAGGCTACACTAACCCAGAAATAGTACCTCAGGTTAAGAACTTTGCTTCAGGATGAGAACAGAAATCGTGTGGCGGTGGTGGCGCGGCGGCAGCAGGAGGCCCCATTAGCTAAAGTGGTGCCTCAGGTTAAGAACAATTTCAGGTTAAGAACGGACCTCCAGAATGAATTAAGTTCTTAACCCAAGGTACCACTGTATTGGCTTGGTTGTGTGAAATGGCTATCAGATATCAGTCACCACAGATTGCAGTAGTGGGATAACTGGCATGGGGGGGGCAACATATTAAATGATAAACTCATCACCTGATAATGCCCATGTCTAATAACTATGAATTATCTCTTCATACACATACATTATAACGTCTACTTGGTGCTTCAGAACCCCTCCCCCCGTCCTTTGGCTCCTCTTTCCAATTCTCCTCTTGTAGAATTTTACAGCCAGAAGTGACCACAGAGTTCATCTAGTTCGCCTCCCTTGTTCAGTGCATGACATAAATGCAAGATGTAACTAAAGCATTCCTGGCAGGTGACCATCCCCCCTCTATTTAAAACAGTGCTTTGCAACCTGCTCTGCTGTCCACCAGAAGTTTTTGCTAATGCTTTTAGCCAAAATCTCCTTCCTTGCTGTTCTTACCCATTACTTCCAGCCCTGGAAGAACACAAAGTTGCGTGTGCACTATGCATTTAAATCATGTGACTTCCCCCAAAGAATCCTGGGAATTGTGGTTTGTTAAAGGTCCTGGGAATTGTATCTCTGTTGCAGAGTTAACTATAGTTGTCAGGGTTCTTTGGAGAAGTGTTCTTTTAATGTGCCGGTGCGCACACAGTCTATGTTCTATGTGGCAGCCCTTCAGATGTTTGAAGCCTACTGTTGTGTTTCTCCTTAATCTTCTTTTCTCCATCTGTTTCAACCATTCATAACAGGACTTGCTTTCCAGGCTGATCATCACCCTCTAGGCAGGTGCTGGTTTTCTCCTGCATCCTGAGTGTTTGGTGAGGTGGCTGCAAATCTTCTTCATCTCTCCCCCTCCCCAATTGCTGTGTATTATTCGGGATTATGCATATTACGACAGACTTCCTAAGGACTCTGGGTTGTTGTTTTTTCTCCCCCTAAAACGTCTTCTCATTTGAAGAATGAGTGTGCTACCCTCTTTCCCATTTCCTTCCAGAATACATTTAAATGAAAATGGCAAATGAGATATTTGTTTGTAGCTGCAACGACTTCGTGCTGCTTGTTCCATTTCTGAGAGAGCGGTGTTATGAGCATCTAACATGGGAACAAAAGTATGATTTTAATATAACAAAAAGGGGGTGTTTTTGTTTATGCCCTGCTGATCTGTAATCAAGTGCACTAAGTATATGTGTGTGTGCTTGGTCTTAAACCTCCTGTGACGTCTACTGTGGTTTCGATTGTGAATCAAACATAAAGCCGTCAAGTCTCTCTCTTTCTCTTTCTTTACTTTCTGCACAAGTATGGTTCTACTTTGAGGATATATAACGCATTTAAAACAAAGTGAGACCCAGTGCGTGTTTCACTTTTGAAGAAGAGCAAGTTCATTTTGTTGGTACGATTCACTGGGACTTTATGAAAGAGTGTCAACGGAATAGATTTGCACAATGGCAATATAGATTTCTGAAACGAGCCAGAAAAATAATGGAGTCCATACATTGCCATTGTTGGTTTGTTTTTGCTTTCAGCTGGTAAAAGTTGGCATGAAATAGCTTATCTGGACTGGCCTCTGGTTGCAAACGGGATCCGTTCCTGAGCCCCGTTTACAACCTGAAAGGAACGCAACCCGCATCTGCGCACATGCGGGTCGTGATTTGCTGCTTCTGCGCATGCGCGTTACATCATTTTGCTCGTCTGCGCATGCGCGAGAGGCGAAAACTGGAAATAACCTTTTCTGGTACTTCCGGGTCACCACCTGAAAAGACGTAACCTGAACTGAACATAACAAGAGGTATGACTGTATCTTTAGGCAGACTGAGGTGGCTGTCTCAGGCAATTGTGTGGTGTCATGAAAGGACAGCACATCGCTCTTTCTTTATCATTGTATTGCCAAAATAACTTAGCTAGTTTTAGATGCCATCTAGCATCTTGTTCTCACACTGACCAACTAGAGGTCTGTGAGAGGCCCACAGCACCAGCAGATCTCTTCTGTCTTTATGATACAGGTTTAAACAGAAAATAAATAAATGCAAATAAGCATTTGCAAATAGGTTTTTGTCTTCCACATCTTGCGAGTTTGCTTTGGCATTCCTAAGCCATGTTCTGCTCCCATATTCTCCCACACACTTGCTTTTTCTAATTTACATATCCCTTTTATAGAGCTTACCACTTGCTCTTTGGTGTATTAATTTAAACTTGGTGATTTGTTTTTCTGCTCAGGAAGCAGCAGACTCCAGGATAGTGACATATTCTGGCAGCCACAAGCAGCGATTACTTTCCAGTTTGGCTAATGATATAATCCACCGTGGTTGCAAAGTCTTGCTTTTCTCTTTAGATGACATTTTTCCGCAAGCTACACGTGTTGTATTTATAAGTGGCACTTAGGAAGATGCGTTCTGTAATCTCCTACTTATGCCTGACACTCTACGCATGTGTTTATCTACAAGGAGTGATGGCATTGCTTGTTAATTCCACCCCCTGCTCCACAGCATCATAATATTGGAGGTGGTGGTTGGGGAGGAGGGGAAGAGTGTCAGAGATGTACTTTAGCAGCCAAAGAGTAATATATTGACATTGGTCATGGGTACTTTATAAGGCACCTATTTGGAAAGTCATTTGCTACCAAATGTGGAGAAACCATGGCTCACTTATAGTGAATACAGAAGGCCCCAGGTTCATTCACCTGTTTAAAGCATCAGGTAACAGGTAGACAGGTTCAAAGACCTCAGCTGCTGGTCAGAGACCACATTCACACCATACATTTAAAGCACTATGTTACACTTTAAACAGACTTGGCTTCACCCAAAGAATTCTGGGAGCTGTAGTTTGTTAAGGATACTGAGAGTTGTTAAGAGACTCCCTATTTCCCTCACAGAGCTGCAGTTCCCAGAGTTCCCTGTGGAGAAGGATGATTATTAAACAACTTGGGAAATTGTAGCTCTGTAAGGGGAGTAGGGGTCTTTCAAGAACTCTTGACAACCAGCGCCATTTTTCTAGAGAAAGAGGTGCCAGAACTGACCATGAACACCTCCCTTGTTCTCTTTGAATAGCAATGGCGCCCACCTGAGAGGTGCCGGAACTCAGTTCTGGTGAGTTCCGGCTGGAAAAAAAAGCCCTGTCGACAACATTAACAAACTGTAGCTCCCAGAATTCTTGGGGTTGGGGGAGCCGTGACTGTTTACAGTGGTATTATAGTGCTTTAAATGCATGGTGTTCTGGTATAGCACCGTTTCCCATGCTCCTAAATCATTTCTGTGGACAGCTATTCATATATCGCAGATGGAGAACGAAGTCCTTTGAAATGCCCCTTCATAAAAATCAGTTGCTGGTGATGGCCAAAAATAAAGCCTCACCCTTATTTTTTTGACATTTGTGAATGAGATATTTATACTGTTCATTTTCTCAAGTTGAAACTGGCTGTGTAAGTGGCATGATCAAAATAGGGGTTTCCCCCCCTTGGCTACTGGAAGAATGCGAATAAATACTGATTTACCTGAATGCCACCCACATGCCACTGTGAACTTACGTAACCAAGTTTTTCTTTATTAACTCTCCAAGGACACAATAGCCATGCACCGAAGATCCTCAGCAAGAGCTCACACTGCCCATGTAAGTGTATTTTTTATTTTAAAAAGGGGGGGAAAGGAATCAAGCTCTTACCTTTCAAATTACATTCATAAAGCATTATTCAAATACGTGTAAGGCTGACTACTAAAGAAAGCACAATGACTGTCTACAATGCACTAATTTTATTCCACTTTGACTTTGAAAATATAATCGGTACTTACAAAAATTGTAAATACTACGGAATCATGCTAGAGGGATTATTCTAAAGTGGAAGTGCTAATATAGCAAGCAAAATAGCTCTTTCTAGTCTTAACTGGCTCCATTATCAGCAAAGATAACATCTGGCAACAACATTGCAAGAAGCACAGTGTGTGTGTGTGTGTGTGTGTGTGTGTACACATAACTATCTGGGATTTATGGTGACATGTACATATTAGTTTGAAATGAACTTCGTCTTGAACTCCACATGAGATGGAACAGGTAGCAGTTATTCCTTGTGACCCCTTGCTCAGCCACCCCAATTAAAACAGCAGCTTAGCCAAATGAATGTCTGTCTACTACCAGCGATTTAGTGGAAGTGGAATGCAAGGGAGTGCTGCTCCGAGACTATTTTCAGAGCAGGGGTGATGGCCTCATGTGCCAGAATGCCAGGGTTATTGATGGATCTTCCTTGCTCTGTCAGATGAATGCAGTGCTAATGAGCCTTCCAAGTTCTCTCTTGCTTCTGATAGCTTAGCATCGTGGAAAATCCAAAAAGCAGGTTGCATACTTATTTCCCTTTCTTTGATGGAGTTCTTACTTCATCCTAGTGGTTTTATTGCAAAAAGATGGCAGTCTTAAATGATCTGAAGAGAAGCCAGGCAACCTATTTGCAGTGATTTGACTCTCAAAATACTGATCAGTCACAGCAGGCTAACCACTACACCACCCTTTCCCAGCTCCCAGCTCACTGTTCCATGATTTTCTGCTGATCTTAATATATTGGGTATTATGCTATGTATTGATGCCCTATCTCTCTCTGTGTGTGAGTACATAATAGACCAAGCTGCCTATATTTTTGGACTCTCCTTGGGGACATAGCTATGATGGCTGTCATTGATGGGCGCCTGCACTTTGCAATTTACCACTGCACCACTGTCTACAGTGGCATTCTCCTTGCGCCGTGCCACATGGAGGATGCCCATAGCTGATTGGAAGTGCATTTGCTTTGTGTGCAGAAGGTTCCACGTTCAATCCCTGGCATCCCCAGATAGGACTGAGAGGGATAGAAGTCCTGGAGAGTCCAAAAATGTTTAGTTTGGAATTGTTTAATTGGCTCTTATTGTATTAAGATTTGTGTTAAGATTTGTATTAATTGTATTAAGATTTGGCATGGTTTGGTATTGTATTAATGTGGGTTGTTATTAATGAAACATTTAAAATGGTGGAGGTAAAACATTAATAAAAAGTAATTTTAAAAAAAGGAATCCTGCCCATTAGTGGAGCTAGATAATACTGAGTTAGATGGCCAAGGCACTGTTCACTGCAGTAGCAATCCAACCAAGTTATCTAATTAGACTAAGAAACGTATCCTCATGTATTCAAGAATTTGCGTATTCAAGAATTTGCGTATTCAAGAATTTGCACTCGTTCAAATGAGCAGACCAGCATACTATAGCACTGTGTTGTTTATTACTGCATGCCTGGCAGTTTGCATACTTATCGAAGAGAACATACCTGCATGCTACAGCTTTCCATTGTTTCTTACTGCGTCCTGGAAAGACTCATAGCAGGACAGTGCTGCTCCTGACTACATTCCAGAGTCCATACTAGGCCAAGCAGACAGAGATGTCTCCCACAGCACTCTAACGCTTCTCGCTACATGCCTAGCCAACTGAACACACCTCTCTGTCACAGCATCCTGTTGTTCCTTACTGCATTCCAGTATACCCTAAATGAAAATACCCCGAAGTGCCACGACACCGTATTGTTTCTCGCTGCATTCCAGACAGAGCTCAATCATTCTTGATGCATTATGTATTTACAACATTATATATAAGTGCCTGTTATAAACAAACTGCTATATTAACAGGCACAGCTTATAAAGTATCATTATAAAGTAATCATTCAATCAATCACTCCACTCAGAACTATCCGGGGGAGGCTGGGTGTTCGTCAAATGAAAGGCAAATGTCTGATTTGCATTCACTTTTCCAGAATGTGCCATAGAGTTGAGTTTTGCAGCGCTCTGTATCCTGAATACCAAGTGCATACCTTTTTTTATTTTCTCCAGAGACTTCACTTGGAGGCAAATGGTGAGTCAGGATATTCCTTGGGAGCAAGTGGGATTTGCAAGAAATAAGAAGACCTCCCCTGGACTGGACCAAATGCCATATAATCCAGCCTTCTGTTTTAAACATGATCAAGCCGGACGCCTCTGAAAGCAGGACCTGAAGGCAACTTTCCCTCCCTTGTTGTTTGTCACCAGCATCTGTTCTTCAGAAGTACACAAAACTTTGAACTTGGCAGTTCCATTTGGTTATCATGGCTGCTACCCATTGCTGCTCCCTCTTTTAGAAAAAAAAAAACAGTGACCATAAGCAGATCTTGTGGTACTGAATAGATTTTTTTAAAAATCAAATACAGAAATACAGTGGTACCTCAGGTTAAGTACTTAATTCGTTCCGGAGGTCCGTTCTTAACCTGCAACTGTTCTTAACCTGAAGCACCACTTTAGCTAATGGGGCCTTCCGCTGCTGCTGCGCCAACGGAGCACGATTTCTGTTCTCATCCTGAAGCAAAGTTCTTAACCTGAAGCACTATTTCTGGGTTAGCGGAGTGTGTAACCTGAAGCGTATGTAACCTGAAGCGTATGTAACCCAAGGTACCACTGTAGTGTGTAGCGTAGCACACAGGAAGAGGCATTAAACTCTCATTAAACTCTCTTGCGTCACAATGGATCTTCTTCTCCACAAGCTGACTTTTGCTCCAACGGAAGCATTACCATTTATCCTGATACAGGAGCACCCATACTAATTACATTTTTTAAAAGCCAGTCTGCCTTGAGAAGTGGTGAACTCTCCCTCACTGGAAGTATTTAAGCAGAAGCTGGGTGAGCATATGCCTGGGCTGCTGTCATTGTCTCCTGCACATAGCTGTCAACGTTTCCCTTTTAAAAAAAAGGGAAATTCCCTTATTCCGAATAGGATTCCTCGCAAGAAAAGGGAAAGTTGACAGCTATGCTCCTGCATGGGGCAGGAGGTTGAACTATAGGGTCTCCAAGGCCCTTTCCAAACGTCTGATTCTGCAACTTTATCATGCAACCACCACATGGGGGAAATGGTTGTGTAAATTGCACGTTTGTGTCTGACAAAGCCAAGATTCAGGCTGAGCAGATTATACTGAGTAATAGTTATGACAATTCATGTCATGTCCTGTGCTCAAATAACAGAGAAACTGTCTCTTGCAGTAAACCCTTCCATAGTTATACTGGGCTAGAAAGTACACGTCCCAAGTCTGTTTAGGTGCAGAGTCAGCATAGTGTCGGCGTATCTTCAAGTCTCGGTCTCCGAAAAAGCTTATCAGTTTGGATATGCTGCTGTCCAGGTTGTGGTGAAGGTGATGTATCAAATCTTGATTGAGACGACACCATGTCAGCTTGGTGAAATGATGATGAAGCGAAAACATGACCATTTCTCCCTGTATTAAATTTCTGTAGTGATGCAGTTATATAGATACAAAGGCATATTCATATGGAACAAAAAAAGGTGGGGAGGTGTACAGCTAAATGTTCTTATAGATCAAATCTATATGTGAAATTCAGCCTCCAACTCACTGTGTCTACTCTGACATAGACCCTGGTCTATGGTGCATCTGCCTTTCCATAGATATTACCAAAGCACACAGCGATTCCATTAGGTCATGGAACAGTTTTCTCTCAAGCTGATCTTTCACTTTTCTCAGAAAAGCAGTGTTGCTTTTCAACATGCAGCTGCTGAAACCTTTCCCCTTGGTAGTTAGGATATTTATGAACATTCCATATATTGCAGCAGCTTAGCAAATATCTTACACATGAAAAGGAAAGTGCAACCATATTTCAGCTTGGTGCAGGGATTGCCAATTTTGTGTTCTGCTGAAATTGTTAGACTATGACTCCCATCATCCCTGACCATTGGCCATCCTGACTAGTGTTGATGGGAGTCCAACAACATCTGGAGAGACAACCCATTGACTACTCCTGACTTAATAGATGACATTAACAGCCTCTCTCTTCTTTGTAAGCTCTCTCCATGTGTGTCTATGTGGAACATCATGGTGGCCTTACATGGACCCTCCTCACAATCTGAGGTGCAAAAGGTAGTTTCAGGATGAGGGCCTTCAGTGGCAGCAGCATAATTGTGGAATGCTTTCCTCTGAGAGGCTCACCAGGAACCTACCTTGATGTCATTTCAGTGCCAAGCAAATATATTTTGATTTCCCCAGGTCTTTCAATCTGTTGTAGCCTGATTTTTTTAAAAAAAATTATCTACCAAGTGATTTCATGCTGCTTCTTGTTTTGCCAGATCTACTATGTAAACATCTTCATCAATATTTGCTTGATTAAAGCTGTTGTATTCCAAGGGAAGCTCCTAGGAAAATGATTTTGTGTTTGTGTGTGTGTGGAAAGACGGCATACAAATAAAACAACGATGAAGATGATGATGATGAATTGCCCATGTATAATGTAATTCAACCAGGGAAAGTGCAGAAGAGACCTTATGTCACCATGAGATAGCAAAATACGGTATTATGCAACTCTATTCTTAGCCCCAAGTCAATTAAAACTAAACTTCACTGAGTTCAACCAGAGCCTTCCAGAGAGTTAACAAATACATTTTCAGTACCACATAGACTATATTGATTTAAAGTTATTGCTAGTTTATCTTCCATTACACATCCGTAGGATATTTGTTAGTTTTACTAACTCTGCCACATACAAGATTCTAAATTCCAGTGGTAATTTGTTGGGTTGCAAGATTTAATTAGTAGATTAATCAGGCAAAATGTCTCAAAAAGGAACATGTGTTAAGATTTTTCTAGTATTCAGATTTATTTAAATATAATCAATTAATCAATTAAAAGGCAGGTGATTAATGAGTGAACAAAATCTAATCAACTGACAGCCTTAGTAATTTGGGGACATTTTGTCTGGAGGTTATCTCTAACAGTGCAGCAGTCAATATATTCATGATTAATTCTACCTCTTCAGTCTCAACTGAGGAAGTAGACCTTTACGAGGCCATGTTAACAGTGGTTACCTAAGCAACAAAAAGCCACAGTCACAAAATTTTAATCTAATTCCTCAAATAGAGGGGTTACAGCTCCATCTGAAGCACCATTATTTTTGTAAATGGTGTCCATGGCACTAGGAATAGGCATTAATGATTGGCTGGGATGCTGTTTCGGAAATTTAGCACAGCCTGGGAGCTCAGAGCGCTCAACACTTTCCAACTGCAGTTAATCAAGCACTGGCATCAATTCCTCTACTAAAGAGGAATGACAATAGCTTTCAACTGCTCCTAGTTATCAGAAGCATCCTAATAAAAGCCGTGTGCCGTTCCATCGCACTCTCCTGTCACTCACAAGTGCCATCTAGAAGCAGAAGCCAGGATTGGACTATGTAGATAAGAACATGTTTAATTCTCTGTGGGTGGGACTCCAGGATAAGGGAGGTGTGCCTCCCTTATGTCCTTTGGTGTCACTGTGGTCATAAGCAAATGGTTACCATTCACAGCAGTGTGCAAAAGTGAAGCATTGCACTCTAAGACACTGTTCCTGTCCAGGCAAAACCTGCCTCCAGCTTCTGACCAGTGTTGGTTCTGGGTTTGGGGGGCATTCAGGCAAGAAACCTTTGAGGGCCTCTTGTCCCTGAGTAGCCCACTTCCTCTTCAACAGTGTTGCTACTCCCTAGTCATTTGTCCTGTCCCTCTGAGCCAAATCTGCGCCACCACACAGAGGAAGTGGTCAAGATAAGCAAAGGCAATTGCCACTTATCTAGAAGAACAAATCTTGCTGAGAAAGGACCAGCATGGCTTCCACAAACATATTTTTTTAGAAATAACTAATATTTTAATAGATATTTGAGTGTTTCAGTAAGCATGTGGATAGGGGTGATCCAATAGATGTTGTGTACTTGGACATTCAAAAAGAGTTTGATATAGTCTCTCACCAAAGACTAATGAGCAAGCTTAAAGCCTTGGGATAAGAAGATAGGTCATTTTATGGATCAGCGGGGGTGGCGCTTTACCTTTACCTTTAACTGGTTAAAGAGCTGGAAGCAGAAAGCAAGAAAAATGGGGTCACCTGAGAATCTGTATGGAAATTGTGGCTCTGTCAGGGAAATAAGTCTCTTAACAACTCCTAGCACCCTTAAATAACTACAGATCCCAAGTTTCTTAGGTGGAAGCCATGACTGTGGTATGAGACTGCTTTAAACCTACAGTGCAGATGGGAACTGACCCAGAAGTGAGTCTTATTTACTGTTGTGTTCTAACTTGGACTTCTAGATTCATCTGATGTGTAGCTTCTGCAGCCCCATTAGTGGACCTTATCTATCATCTGGGAGCCATTCTTGGATGGGGAACCTGTGGCTGCAAGAATGTTACGGGGCTCTCAATTATCCCTATGCCTTGGCCACTCTGTCTGGGCCTGACAGATGTTAAGAGCTCCAAAACATCTAAAGTGCCATAGGTTCCCCAACCCTACTAGAGACCTAGCAAAGCCAGAGGATTCTTCTTTTTTTTGTTAACTATAGCAAAGAAAGATGGACTTTCTCAAGGTTTGCATTGCATTCGTACATGAACATGAAAACAACAGCAAACCCTCAACTGCGCAGAATATTCTGCACACTTTGGCCAGTTCCTTTCTGCTCAAGGCGATTCTTTTCCAGATCATGCTCTGAGAGATATCTGCTCATGAAGCATACAGCTACTTTAAGTTGTCAGAATAAATGGGTGATCCTTTCAAGTGCTGTCAATCCACTTGGCTTATTAACATCACCAGGGGCACTGAGTTTAGCTTAGCACAGGAGTTCTTCTATCTTCTGTGGAGGGGGCCATCTAGTGAATTTTGTCTTTTTGCATAATCATTCTGTTGGAGTGGGCCTCGCAAGCCACGTAATTCTGTTCAGTGCTAGAAGTACAGGAGAGCCAGAGCATTCCCATGATGACTGTCAAGCCTCCACTGGAAGACCTCCAGCAAGGGAGAGACAACCACCCCTCTAGGTAATTGTTGAGCTGCTCTTACTGTCAAGATGTTTTCCCCAATGTTCAACAAAAAGCTGGCCTCCTTTAACTTAAGCCTATTAGCTCTAGTCCTGCCTTCTGGGGCACCAGAGAACAAGTATTTCTATGTGACAGCCCTGTTAGAATTCCTGCTCCGTGATTGCAGTCATGGGATTGTTGTCTTTCACATGACAGTATATGTTTTGACTCCACAGAGTGGGAAGTGACGGAGACAGAATGTTTGTGTTCTGTGAAGTGGGATTGTTGTCCTTTGTTCTTTCTCTTTGCTGTCTGAAGCTAGAGAGAGAAGGAGCCATGTTGCAGTGCTCCGTGTGTGTTTATATGTAAATAAAGTAGATTAGCCCAAATGCTGAGTTGCTGAGGTCTGTTACGCAAGCTGCGAAGACTCTGCGGATCCCTAAGTGTGCTGGTGTCTGTTGGCATATAGCTCCCGAACAATTGACCAGGAGGGAGAGAACATGCCAGTTGGCCATGTGTCTCTACCAGGGTCATATTCGAGTGTAGGATGAGCTCCTGACAAGCCCTTCAGATCTTTGAAGTGTGCTGTTGCCATGTGAAAAAAAAGATAAATGAAAAGCACTTCTTCATGTAGCACAGTGTTAAACTGTGGTACTTGCTCCCACAGGAGGCATTGATGCCCACCAACTTAGATACTGGGCAAATAATTCATGGAGGATAAAGGCTATCAATGGCTACCAGCCATGATGGCCATGATTTGCCTCCATGATCAGAGGCAGTAATATTTCTGAATACCAGTGGCTGGAAACTACAGAAGGGGGAATGCTCTTATTCTTGGGTCCTGCTTGCAGATTTCCCACAGGCACCTGGTTCTTATGCTCATGTTCCCCTGCAGTTTTTTCTTTTCCAGAATAAGCATACCGTACATGGTTCGAGGGACGTGGGTGGTGCTGTGGTCTAAACCACAGAGCCTAGGGCTTCCTGAACAGAAGGTTGGCGGTTTGAATCCCCGTGACAGGGTGAGCTTCCGTTGCTCGGTCCCTGCTCCTGCCAACCTAGCAGTTCGAAAGCATGTCAAAGTGCAAGTAGATAAATAGATACCGCTCCAGCAGGAAGGTAAACGGCATTTCCGTGCGCTGCTCTGGTTCGCCAGAAGTGGCTTAGTCATGCTGGCCACATGACCCAGAAGCTGTACGCCGGCTCCCTCAGCCAGTAAAGCGAGATGAGCACCACAACCCGAGTCGTCCGCGACTGGACCTAATGGTCAGGGGTCCCTTTACCTTTACATGGTTCCTTCAACCTTTCCTCGTAGGGCAGGGATGGCATAACCCCAGATATTGTTGGATGCCAATTCCCATCCGTCTCAGAGAACATGGCCTATTGTAGGAGGTGATGTCCAGCAACATCTGTTGGCTGCTAAGAACATAAGAATAGCCTGCTGGATCAGGCCAATGGTCCATCTAGTCCAGCATCCTGTTCTCACAGTAGCCAAACAGATACCTGCATGCAAGAAGGATCTGAGCACAATAGCACTCTCCCCTCCTGCAGTTTCCATCAACTGGTATTCAGTTATCATAGGTCTTCACCACGCAGCCTGATCCCCACCTCCCAAATTCAGCATTCAGCATGATCACCATTTGACTTCCACCTGTAAAGATCTATGAAAACACAGACTGAATTTTGGAGTGCAAACTTGCTGCCGGTTTACAAATGGGATGACTGCCATACGTGCTCAGAGGGTTGCTACAGGGTTCACTCAAGATCAGCAGTATTTTTACCCACATCTACCACCACCATTGTAATGACTATTGCTACAAATTTCACACTTGCTCAGCTGGATCACTGGATGTGGATCACTTGGGCTGATGTAATGAATTGTGGCTGGCTGGGTTGGAAGACAATGAACCTTGCCTGCTAATTTTACGATCATCTAATCCTAAATGGTTATAATGTAGACATCTTCAACCAGAAAAAGTTCAGAGATAAAATCCAAACCAGGCAGAAGGTCATAATATTTATACTGCAAAATACAGTAAAATGGCCCGATAATCCACTTCTATCAGTAGCACAGACTACAGTAACGCTTGAGATTATGATATCTCATTTCTAGATATACTGAAGGGAACTTCTCTTGGAAAATCTCTCTGTTATCATAGAATTATTGAACAGGTAGCAGCTTTCAACAGAATGTCAAAACCAGCTTGTCTAAATCAATGTAACTGTGAAATAACTTAGGGAAAGAAAATCTTTGTGTCAACTAGCATCACCCCAGCGAGTGCACCCATTGGCATCTTCTAAAGCCATCTGGGTGGAATGGAGAGAAATAATCTTATACCGCAACAGTTGGGCACCATATAAAGAGTCCACAAAGATACGATCTGCAGTGCCTGTCCTAGCCAAAAGAAGAAAGACATTCACTTACATCTTAATTTGGGTACATAGAGATCACAGGCCCAGTGGGTTTTAAGATCTCTTGCAGAAGAACTGAGAAAATGTCAACATATTGCAGAGCGTTAAATTAACACACACCTCATGCATCAGGGCAGTACTCTGGGCCATAGGTCCAGGGCCCACACGGCAGAATGGGCAGGAGGACCCTTTGCTGACTTGTTTACCATATTTTGAAGTACAGTGGTACCTCGGGTTACATACGCTTCAGGTTACAGACTCCACTAACCCAGAAATAGTGCTTCAGGTGAAGAACTTTGCTTCAGGATGAGAACAGAAATCGTGCTCCGGCGGCACAGTGGCAGCAGGAGACCCCATTAGCTAAAGTGGTGCTTCAGGTTAAGAACAGTTTCAGGTTAAGAACGGACCTCCGGAACGAATTAAGTACTTAACCTGAGGTACCACTGTAAGTGAAGTTATAAATATTACCCAGCATCTGTGAAAGGAGCAAATTCCTTGCCAGGGAGACATAGGAAATGAACGAGAAACAAAACGGCTGATACCATAACACCATTCTACAAATCTGTGGCATCTGGGATATTGCGTACCCTAGGACAGCTTGAAAAAGGATACTGTAGGGTGGGGAAAGATTCAGCAAAGGGCAACCAAATGATGATGAGGGTGGAGCAACTCCACTATGAGGAAAGGTTCCTACATTTGGGGCTTTTTCATTTAGAGAAAAGGCAAGAAAGAGGTGACATGACAGAAGGGTGCAAAATCATGCATGGCATAGGGAAAGTGGGCCAAGAAAAAACTTTCTTCCTCTCTCACAAACTAGAACTCGTGGAAATCCAATGAAGCTGATTTTTGGAAGAAGGACAGACAGAAGTAAGTACAGTGGTACCACGGGTTAAGTACTTAATTCGTTCCGGAGGTCCGTTCTTAACCTGAAACTATTCTTAACCTGAAGCACCACTTTAGCTAATGGGGCCTCCAGCTGCTGCCGCACCGCCAGAGCATGATTACTGTTCTCATCCTGAAGCAAAGTTCTTAACCCAAGGTACTATTTCTGGGTTAGCGGAGTCTGTAACCTGAAGTATATGTAACCTGTGGTACCACTGTACTTCTCCATACGGCACATAGCTAAACTATGGAATTCACTTCCACAAAATGTAATGGCCACCAACTTGGATGGCTTGCAAGGAGGACTAGACAAGTGCATGGAGGAGAAGGCCATTGATGAAGAAGAAGTAGAAGAGTTTAGATTTGATATCCTGCTTTATCACTACCCGAAGGAGTCTCAAAGCGGCTAATATTCTCCTTTCCCTTCCTCCCCCACAACAAACACTCTGTGAGGTGAGTGGGGCTGAGAGACTTCAAAGAAGTGTGACTAGCCCAAGGTCACCCAGCAGCTGCATGTGGAGGAGTGGAGACGTGAACCTGGTTCACCAGATTATGAGTCTACCACTCTTAACCACTACACCACACTGATTGCATTGATGGCTTTGTTGTACCTCCACGGTCAGAGGCACTGTGCCTCAGTACCAGTTGCTGGGAGATGCAGGATTGAGGTCCTGCCTGTGGGCTTCCCATAGGCATCTGGTTGTGAGATTAGGACTAGATGACCCACTGGTGTTATCCAGCAACTGAACCAAAAGCTGGGTGGAGCATTGAACATGGAGAGGCTGTATGAACTTAGGAAGCCACCTTCTGGCGAGTCAGGCCTTCAGTTCATCTAGCTCACTACTGACTATGCTGATTGGCAGTGGCTCTCCAGGGTTGGGCTCTCCCAGCCCAACTAGAGATGCCAGGGAGTGAATTGAGGACAGCAGATGCTCTGACACTCAGCTACATGTCTTCTCTGTTATGTGTTCCTGCTGTGAGAAATGGCCGGACTCTGCTGGAGGGAGAAGGGGCAAGCAGTGGTGGTGCTGAGAGAAGGCTGGAAGGGGACTTGATGTGATTTGCAGAACCAAGTGTTTCTACAAAAGTTCCTCGGCCTAAACGAAACCTTTCCTCATTGCATCATTATTACACACACACACACACACACACACACACACACACACTAAAGGTTAAAAAAATGCTAATGGACTCATTGTGTTGCAATAGTGGGGAAGTGACTATCATGTGCTTGAAATTCTGGCAGCTCCTTTGTTCGTTGCATGTTAACAATCATAATAGAGAGCTTAGAAATGAAATGATACGGCATCAGATCACAGAATATTCCATTCAAGGAAAATTCATTTATTTACGCTTCCATCCACCAACTCTCCATCTGCACAAAATAGTCAGGTGGCTAGAGACCCCCCTGTCCCTCCCCACACGTAAGAGCACACAGCCATTTTCAACCTGCTGTGTACTGCATGAAAAACAGCACATCTCCAGCTGAGAAGCACAGACGTGCTGGAAAACAACTGTATTCTTTGTTAATTTGCAGGTTTAGAATCAATTAATATGTTGTGATGTAGTTCCTTCTTCTTTTTTTTTTTTAAGGGTAAGCATAAGCCATTCATCCCATAAGGATTCCCATGGTTTGAGACTAGAACACCCATTTTTTAACATACACACGATAAAATGAATGATCTTTCCCTTCCTTTTATTATTATTATTATTAAAAGCAATACTTTGGAAAACTCATATTGCTAGCCTTAACTGAAATGTTTATTCAGGTTGATATGGACAGGCCGTGTACTCTAGCAAGCAACAAAGGAGCATCATTCTAATGTTTAACATTACATTCATGGCTGGACGGTTCGTCTGTAGCCTGGCTAGGATATTTGCTATGCAGAGACACGTGCTTTTCCTGTGCAGCCTGGCTGACAGACACTAGAAATTAAGATGGTGCTGTGAGCAATTCTAATGGATCTTAATCTATCCATGGACTGTGGTTGCAGCTATAAAAAAAAATGCACTGGATAGGGAGAAAGGAAGACCATCTTGTTGCTCTTGAGTGACCTCTTCCAATGCAGAAGATAGGCCTTATCTACTCCGGGCACTGGAGAAATGAAATGAAATGAAATGAAGTACAGTGCAATCTCATTTATCCGAATGGCCTGGGGGACATCCAATCCATTCCAGACTTTGGGGGTAAACAGGGACACTATTTACATAAGGACACATCAGTGTGGCAAGACCCACCAGGCAATAGAAGGAAGCTGGGGTGGGGGAGGAACAGCCAGGACTAGCAGCCCTATGATGCATGGTCACATATGTTAATAGATGCTATTTATAATTGCTACCCCAAATTTATTATTTGTCTATCTAGCTACTATAAATAGATCTTATGTTGTGCCCATCAATGTATAAGATCATGCATATTCAGAAGGCAGAGGGCCAGTGTCATATATGGCAACAGCTGCTAGCGTTGCAAATACAATATACTATTCATTTCCGTGTGTTTTTTCAAGAGATTGTGCTCCACATCTCCAACGAGCTTCTCCTCATTATATTAATGAAATATGTTGTGAAGAGCTAGCAGGAAATGGTAGCAGGTGTGTTTCCATCCTAGATATGTTTACTCTTATTGGCCTCTCCTTCTGGCCTAATGACAACAACATTTAACGCTCCCAATGCAGCTTCCCTGGTTTTTTTGTGTGTTATCTTTCGACATCAAAAACGCCAATTACTGCCACACTGCATTCTTTGCACGTTATTTGCCAGAAATCATGGCAGGTTATGCAATGTCATGTTGCTTTATATGACACAGCATAACAGAAGGTGGCATGGCGCAGGGCAGCCAGGAGTGTAATTGTTCCGCTTGAGCTGCATGGGGTCAGGAGGAATTTAATTAGTTTCTCATAACGAAGCTTTGTGTGTAATGTCAGATGTGTGCTTGGGACTTTGAAATTTCTACCTTCCGTCGCACAAGATCTGCCTTCAAAGGACAATCCAAAAATATACATTCCCCATGGAGAAACCAAAGTTGAAGGCCACAGTCCTGCGCACACTTACTTGGAAGTAAGTCCCACGGAAATCAGCCAGCCTTACCTCAGAGTAGGCATGGGCGGAATTGCACTGGGTAGACGTGGGATAATATGTATCTGGAAGGCAGATGCTGAAAGGAACATTTAGCTAAGCAATGTTAACTTAATATCCAGCCAACCTGCTTAAATGTTGCACTCAGAATAGATAAGGTCTACATTCCACTTAAAATATTAACAACATAAAACGAGTTTTGCTGGGTCAGGTCAGGAACCAATCTAGCGCAGCACTCAGCTCTTAGGTGTCCATAGGTTTCACAAGTAGAACCTGAACGCAACAGATAATTTTCTTAGAATTATTCTTCATTTGCTTATAATATATACACATACTTTTACATGAGTGTGTGTTTATGCATGTGTATATGCATGTGTATCTTTGTGTGTTTAGATAGACAGATGATAGACAGATAGATAGATAGATAGATAGATAGATAGATAGATGATAGATAGATAGATGACAGATGCCACAAGGGTCATCTTGTACAACCCTCTCCAATGCAAGACACTTTTACCCAATGTGGGGTGTTTGTCCACAGACAGCTTTCCGGGTCATGTGGCCAGCATAACTAAACCACTTCTGGTGCAACGGAACACCGTGACCGAAACCAGAGTGCACGGAAATGCCGTTTACCTTCCCGCCACAGTGGTACCTATTTATCTACTTGCACTGGTGTGCTTTCCAACTGCTAGGTTGGCAGGAGCTGGGACAGAGCAATGAGAGCTCGCGGGGATTCGAACCGCCAACCTTCTGATCAGCAAGCCCAAGAGGCTCAGTGCCACAGTGCCACCCTCCAAGTCAGTCAGTAGTCTGTGGCCACTGAGCACGTTCAGTCCTCACTCAGCTGTTTTGTGGGTTCTCTCTTCTCCTAAGATTGTGTATCCTTTTCAAAACATCAGGATTTCTCCAAGCCTGGTGTTACCACATCCTTGGGTAGAGGTGGTGCCATTTTGACTGCGTAAGCAATGACACTCAGAGCCTGGAGATGGGAAACATAGGGTGTGTTTGTCTACAAAGAAGTTTAAAAGAACTGAGTTTTACAGCACCCCTTTTTGTTTTATAGATAAGCACAGAAACGAGAAAGCGCCACTTCCTCAAGAGTACTGAACTGAGATGCCATGCCATGTAAAAGAAAGGAGAAGAAGAAGAAAGAATGCCTTCTGGGCGTGATATCAATTGAACACTCACTTTAGACCACTTGGTTAGAAACCCCAAACTTCACAGTAAAATTCAATAGTATAACAAATAATTTGTCACCGGTGGGGAAGAAAAAGGCCAGTGAAAAGATGGCTCCCTATCTTTTCAAGAGAAAAAGAGAAAGAGAGAGAGCTGTAGCCAACTGGATTTATTTATAATAATATTATTTGGTAGCAAGGAACGTACCGTGGCTGAATGTAAAAAAGTATATTTTTGATGAGTTAAAGAGATTAAGAAAAATCAGGCAGATTTTGACAGAGAACGGTGTGTAAATGAGAGGCGTTATCGAGCCAAATCTGGCAGCTCCATTTTTGTTATGGTGAAAAATATCAGTATTATTTACTAAGAAGATTAGGCCTGAATTGGAAGAGAGGCTGGTTGTTGTGTGGAGATTGAGATAAGATAAAGGATTTTACCTTCTATACGCAAGCCAAATGCAATCCACACAGGCTTGTTATCTCCAGCTCAGGCCTAGCAGAGGTATATTAAGATGTACATTGTAATTACCAGTGGCAGGAGTAGATTTCATAAAGACTGTTTTAAAACCCTTAGAAAATTCTGCTCTTTAATTATATAGCTTTGGGGGGAAAAATTTGTTAGTTAATTGCAATGGGGGGGGGGGGAATTAAACCTAATATTTGAAAATGATTCTTACAGGGAAAGCTCATACAGTGCAAGACATCTTTTTGCCTGATCTGTACTTGTTTTGCAGTTTAGCTTCCTTTTGGCAGTGGAACGGCGGACAATTGAGACTGCTAAATGCTTTTGCGTCCCCCTCCCCTGCTATCCAGAATGCAAGATTAGCAAGGATTGAGGGGGAAGTGGGGGGTAAATCCTCTTTCCATGCCATAATTAATTAGTTCCAAAAATGAGCGGCATGCTCACAAATCATTCATGGACACCAGGGATGGGTCCTTCTCCCTTGTGTGCTTAGGTGGTGGATGGTACGGGAATTATTCTTAGATACTTCAGAAATACGTACTGTTGAAGGGCAAATCTCGAAAACCGTGCATGGATGGATACTTAAACTGAAGCTTATCCACTGAGTTCCTGGGCTACATAAGAAGTCTAAGATGGAGACTGTCAATACTTTGATCCTGAGCATGTTTACCTGGAAATGACTCCTGTTTGAAATCACAGTATTTTTAGACCGAGATATAAGTCAAGCAGCAAGACCAGCATCCCCCGCTTATCTTACCACTTGCCATTTTGTGAAATGTCAGCATACTGGGAACTGCAGGTCTTCATGGGCTGAGGCATACATCCTGCTTGCCTCTC